GAAGTAAAGACATCCAAGTTTAGCATACAATCAAAAAAAACAAAGAGTCACATGCCCACAAGCCCAATGATACGAATTCTCCACCTCATTATGCTTGACTTTAAGCATTGATTTATATCTTATACATTTGCATAAAAATTTTGGATAAGACGAATGGTCAAACACTCATTTAAAAGTCAACAACGTCATCTATTAAAAAAACGAAGGGAATATATTCTACCGATCTCTCATAAAAAAATAATCTCATAAAATGCATGGCCATTTGCGCCATATTTCACCATACTTTCATAATCGACAAGATTCAGTTGTAGGCTAATAAGCCCTAAAAGAAACAAACCAAAAATAATTTATAGATAAAACCAAAAAAAATGTAGACACATATATAGCAAATCCCAACTTTTATATGTGTTACTAGTGATTTAAAACTAAGGGTGGAAGAAGATAAACTATGATGAAAAAACTTCATAACAACTAAAAACTTAACTAACTCGAAAATTTAAATTTTAGCTGTGATAGTTAGTCAACAAGAAGACAATGAAAGTTATGAAACTTTGTCACACCCTGAAAATCGCTAAATTATAAATTGTTGTGAAAAAGGAATTTTTAGAATTTATTTAATAATTAAAGCAAGTGTGTGAATAAAATCTATGAAAAATTTGAACATAAACTTGAGCTAGATAAAATTTTATTAAATACTTTGTATTCCCAAGTATTTTCTGTATTTTTACCAGAATTATTTGAGCATTGGAAGTATTTTTAATAAATGAAAGATCATTTCAGAAATTATTTAAATTAAAAAGTTAATTAAAATTCCTCTTCTTTGTTTGGGCCGAATTCAGCCCACTCCTCTCCCTCTCTCTTAGCCGAAGTCCAGTTTTCTTCCCTCTAGCAATCGGGCCAAGCAAGTAAGGAAAAGGAAGCCCAGGAAAAGTCTACTTTATCTACCCTCGCTACAGTACCTTCTTCCTCCTCCAGCCGAGCCGTACAGAGCCGAGCCGTGTGCGTGCGCCGCCGCTTCCTTCGCAAAATCCGTCGCATCCTGTGCTCCGTTTCCAAAATTGGTTGCAAAAACGGATTCCCCTCGATCTCCTCTACCTTATCCCTAAGAAACCCCTTTGAATATCGTTGTATATCGCGTGAATTCGACGCGGTTTCGAGCTCCGTTTTTCCGGCGAACTCGGATAAACCCTCGTTTTTCTCTCGCCAAATCCCGTTGTTTTTGATCCAATCTCTTCGCACGAATCCTATAAATAGCAGCCCCTCGACCTCCTCTTCCGTTTCCCCCTCTTTCCCGAATTTTTTCCCTAACCCTAGCCGCCTCCCCGCGAGCTCCCTCTCTCTCCACCTCCGGTCGCCTCTCCAGCCGTCGTGCGCCGTCGCCCCGCCCGTCGCCGGTCAGCCCCGTCACCTCCCTCGGCTTCGCAAGGGTGAGAGCTACCCCGGCCACCCGTTCCTTTGCGCCAAACCCCCGCTGGAAGTGGTCGTCACCGTGAAGCCGATCTAATCTATCTCCGGCCGCGCTGTTCGTCGTCGTCTATCGTCGCCTTCGGTCGCCGTTGCTTCCATTGGATTCGTAGCTGTGAGGAGAAGCTCGTCCACCCCTCCGTTGCCGCCGCCCATCGCCGGAAAGCCGTCGCCATTGTCAACCCAAGGTTGCCGCCCTTTGGAGCTCGTCGCCGGCCATCTCCCTCGCCGTTTGTCGTTGCGTAAGTGGTGGTAAGGGTTGCCTTGATCTCCTCTCTTCCGGTGCCCTCCGTTTGCGTCATTGTACCGTGGTTCGCTGGTAACCGCCGTTCCCGGGCTCGCCAGTGTCGATCCTGCGTGGCAGCCATGTCATCGCTGACAACCGCGCCATCTTGGCCATCCAAAATTAATATAAATTTGTCATCTCTTTTCAATGACATATTATTCCTTTTTAATAAATGTCATCTACCAAATATGATCTAATCTTTTCCGGAGGATGTTTTAATCTTTTGTCTCAGCTATAAATCATTTGTAAATTGTTTAATCAATTTGGAATAGTCTTTTCTTTAATAGGTTTAATTGGAATTAAATCTTGTAAAATTCATATCTAATTCATACGAACTCGGAAGGAGGTCGTTCAAGTCTCATAATTCATCTAAATTCAAGCTCTATCTATTTATGAACTTTAATTGTACTATTTATTTGGTTTTTATTAGTGTTTTTCTCGTTTTGCATTCTAGGTTTAGTTTTCCGTTGTTTCGGAGGATCATTCGTTCGTTGGAGAAGTTCCTGAAGATGAATTGAAGACGCTTGTTTGCAAGGCAAGTCACACAAATCCCAAACAACACTTTGAGCATGTTGAACCCGTTTAAAGTTAATGTTTTATTTCAACTTATGAATTATTTTCGAATGCCATCGGGTGGTGAGTCTTTCCCAATTAATTAACGGCTGAAGATGACTTTATTTTCCTATGGGTTATAATTTGATTAGCATGAACCTTATATATTGGATTGGTTCAGCTAAATGCCATATGTATGTTTGCTTAGTCATGCTTAGAAACATTAGCTAATTAAAGAGGATTAAATATAAATTATATTATATTATTATTATTAATTATGGTTATATTTAATGGTAGATCACGATGGTTAATCATGTTATGTTAATTAATTAATAATTAAAACCTGGTTAATGGTGGGTTGTGAGCACATGGTTTTGAAGGTCGTGCTCATGGCAATTAAGGACCGGTTCGCGAGCTACTGTTGTGAGACATTAACCGTGCCAACCACAAGCTAGCGTGGGCAACGGCTTTACCTTTTGTATAGCATGATTCATTACGGGGCACCAGACTGAGAAGCGGCAAGAAGTCCGTGGGGGTCGCTGGGGAGTCCATGCCTCTGGTTATATTTATAGAGGGGGTGATTATGATCCAGGAATGGTGCACTGTGGTGAGTTGTGTTGTGCGAAGGGTATTGTCACGATTTCCCCCTTTGCAGTGCCGTAGTGGTACTTCGGGGCATGGCAACATGTGTGGAATCGTGTCTTGTAGGTACAGTGGTACACCTCTGGCCAGAGTAAAACTATTCGAATAGCCATGCCTGCGGTTATGGGCGAGTTGAGCAATGTTTTTCATGATTAGTCCCACACTACTGATTAATGATAACAATGTGATAATTAATTTGACTCCTGGTTTGGAATGGTTAATTCCTGGTTTGGAGGTTTGATCTGTACGACCGGGATTGGTTGTTCAGGTTTGATTGGGCCTGAGCAGCATTGGTGTGCTGTTCAGTGTTGATTAATATTGATGATTAATTACTCTACTGTTTTACTACTCTTAAATCTTTGCTAAATGCTGCTTTTGCAAATGAGCCTATATTATGCCATCCTTTGGTATCCTTGTGCACTTGCATATTTACTGTGTGGCTTGTTGAGTATCTTTGCTAAATGCTGCTTTTGCAAATGAGCCTATATTATGCCATCCTTTGGTATCCTTGTGCACTTGCATATTTACTGTGTGGCTTGTTGAGTATCTTTGCTAAATGCTGCTTTTGCAAATGAGCCTATATTATGCCATCCTTTGGTATCCTTGTGCACTTGCATATTTACTGTGTGGCTTGTTGAGTATGTCATATGCTCATTCTTGCAATAATCATCGAACCTCAGTTGAAGAAAAAGGATCCAGAAGGAGAAGACCTTTGGCTTAGATCCCAGTTGAGCTGACTGTGGGAGTGGAGCATAAGCTTCGCTAGATTTTATTTTTCGCTGCAGTTTTCTTCATGGTGAGGACTAAGTGCCTCTTATGTAAGTATTTATTGTTTTAGTTATTCTGATGAATCTGTATATTAAATTGTCAGTTTGTGTACCTCGGCTGATTCCTGAACAAGGGTCTTAATGTACAAATTAGTTCGGAAATTACTTGTGAATTTCTGGGCGTGACAAACTTCCTTAGTGATAATACACGTAGGCATTCCAGGAGAGTACACATGTAATATATAGCCGCTCAGTTGATTCTTAACACTCTGTATAACATATCTGTTGTTTTTTTAGGACAAAGTAAAAAAAGAATTTGAAACTTATTTAATTACTAAAATTGTAACGACCTGCCTCTCCCAGGCCAAGGCCACTTACATCTGGCAGCTTTCATAGGTCATAGAGAGGGGGCACATGTCTTTTCTGCACCCTCTCCCAGGCCAAGGCCACTTACATCTGGCAGCTTTCATAGGTCATAGAGAGGGGGCACATGTCTTTTCTGCACACTTTGTCCTCACTTGTGTGCACCCGGGAAATCCGAATTTCCCGGTCAGTCACCCATCCCAAATTGCTCCAGGCCAAGCACGCTTAACCCTGAAGTTATTTAGAGAACGGCTTCCGGAAAAGAAGTTGCAACTTGTTGATATGAGTATTCTATTAATCCTATTAAGCCCTAGGCCGGGATGTTACACCCTCACCCCCTTAAGAGAGATCGACGCCCCCGTCGATCAACCCCAGGCCAGGAACGTCCTCTCTTGGCCACGTCCGTGTGTCCAGTGCTAGCGCATGTGCCATGCTGTGTGACCACTCCAGGTCTACACCAGCCATGCGCACCATGCCTGCGCAACTGCGACACACGCGCCCGTGAAACCGCGAGAGTCGGCTCTGATACCATTTTGTAACGACCTGCCTCTCCCAGGTCGAGCCCACTTACATCTGGCAGCTTTCATAAGTCATAGACTGCCCTCACGGACCAACACATGTCTTTTCTGCACACTTTGTCCTCACTCGTGTGCACCCGGAAAGAATTTCCCGATCGGTCACCCATCCCAAATTGCTCCAGGCCAAGCATGCTTAACCCTGGAGTTCTTTGGAGATCGGCTTCCGGAAAAGAAGTTGCAACTTGTTGATATGAGTATTCTATTAATCCTATTAAGCCCTAGGCCGGGATGTTACAAAAATGTGCCTATAATCTGGTGAAGGGAGGTGTAGGTGCCAACGACGACGACGCACACTCCGATGACCAGTATCCCGACGATCGCCGCCACCTCGAAGTGGCCAACTCCTCCTCAGGGCATGTAGATCTTGAGGTAGCTCAGGCATGGGAACAACACGGCAATGGTGACGTTCAGCGAAGATCCGTTGAACGACATGAGGTAGCTGAAGAAGGGTACCGTGCACGCCAGCACCACCGTGCTGACAACGACGGCTGTGCTGGTGAGCACCCTGGTCTGCCTGTTGTTCTCGGCGTCCGTCGCCGCTGCCGTCGTCAACGACAGCTTCTCCTTTATCACCGTTGCAATGAGCTGGATCTCGAGTCCGTACTTCTCTAGCAGGGAGATCAGTGTCGTCAGGATGGTGATCCTGGTGTATAGCTTCCCCGAGGGTAAGTTCAGCGTCACCTGCGCCTGCACATCCTCACCATAGATCAGATATCTCAATAATGTTGTCACTGCGTAATTGAGACTGCACAGCACCGAAGAGATCAGCAAAACCTGCATATTAATTGGAGAGGAATAGAACATTATTGGAGTACTGATCCATTATCATCATCATCGTGGTTTCATAAACCAAATTACGATAATTGGAATTGATAATCCAATGATCAATTATCATTGTTTGCCAAATCTCTCCAAGTGAAAGGTAAAACTTAAAATGCAACATCATTGAGCTACATCATCTGAAGATATGGACCATTGAATGCAACGGTTGATACAATATATGCCGTTAGATCATGGATAAGTATCAGTAAAAGAATGGTAAAAGGTCCAAGATTGTTTAAGAAACTTCCATGAGTTAATTGAGCAATAGTCAGTGCCCTACAACTTTTGCATCTTATCCCTAACAATTCTCATAGCTGTTGGTTGAGTCTAAACTTAGTACAAGAATATATACGACATAATAGATATCTATTTTAACTTGGCATTGAAAAGTTTATGATGCAACACATCTTCCAACTTTAGATATGCTACCTTTTAATTTACCTAAAATTGTTTTGGACTACGCATTAAATTACTTAAAAACAAAATTTCGTAAACTATGTATTCAAATGGCTAATACAATTATTTCATTTGAAGTGCTAGACGCATATTCTAAGTTCAAGTTTTAGCAAATAAATTAAACCATATTAGACGGCTCATGATTAGCTTTATCTTTAAGCTACATTGCTTTTACATGGGTGGATGAGAGGTAACCAAATATAGTTGAGAGGCGACCCTAATTGCCTCCATTCACCAGTTTATTCCACTGGGGTGATAGGCTATAATATAGCACAGTACGCCTCCATGTCACCGCACACGTCAAATTAGTCTAAAGGCCAATCTGACATTACGCTAAATTTACATCATTATGCAAAAATATATATTAATGCTAAATTGTGAATATTGCACTTGCCAGTAATGCACTCGCCATTCCGTATCACTGTAAATTAACATTACATCTTTTTTTAGGATAGTACAACTTATTTTAATAAATGATTTTAGTGTTCATTTCGTCTGATCCTAATTCTTATTGGACGATCAAATAAACTTATTAGCTTAAATTTTATCTACATGATGTATATATAGACCTGCAATGGTGAGTATGATGAGAACGTAGCAGCGATGATGATTAAGAGGTGTGCATGATTAGTGATGTACGAGTTCTCAAAAATATTTATGAGTGTGCGTGTCTTCCATGCATACATGTAATAAAAAACAATTTGTTTGTATTCTTACTAAACCTGTTGCTAATTTAATTCCACCATTGACTTTTCAATTTTCATTAACCATAATTCTAAATTTACATTGTTGATTGTTATCACAAAATTTAGCAAACTTACTATCAAGTAAAACATATAAATACATTTTAAAAAGTGTACCTTAGGAAAATCCTTCTTAGACTTCATCAAGGAGTGCACGGTCGGGAAGACGCCATGGCCGATGAAATAGATGAAGAAGTAGAGGCTGAGGGTGGTGGGCAGGTGGTGGGCAACCTGCTCAGATTCTAGAGGTTGCTTCCCGCCATGTGGAAGCACTTGTCGGCCACGCCGGCCCAAACCAGCGAGGTTCTTGAGCCACGTCGTCGAGAGGATGACAATGGCCACCGTGAGCACGAACAGCTGCTTCCCGTGCAGCTGTACCATAGAATCTCCACCACCGTGCTGGGGAGAAGCTTGTCAAGTTGTCGCCCTCGAGAATGAGGAAGCTGATGGCGACAAAGTAGAGCTCGACGTACATGACGAGGCTGATAGCCATCCGGCCATAGCCGCCGAAGGCGGTGGCCAATGTCTAGGTAGCTCCATATTCAGCGATTGGCGCGCATGCAGTGGTCGATGAGTTTGCCGGTGTAGAAGCAGTTGGCACCGACCATGGTGAAGAGCACCAGGCTGAGCCACCCGCCCTGCGATAGCGCGTACGGCACCGCCGACATGTGGGAAGGAGGAGTTGCTTCTACTCCACGTCGTAAACCACCTTATCGTCCCGTAGATCATCTTGCTCGTGTTTGCCATGGAGGACAGCCTTGTCGATAGGGCTCTTATCCGCCACCATAATCTTCGTATTTGTTTGTGCACATGTTATATTAATGTAGTATCTAGATCACCCGACATAAAATCACTCAGATTTTTAATACTTATATAATCATACGTATCATAACACAGAATTCATTATTAAATATAACCTTATAGTTAAAAATAAAGTGTAACTTACACTTAGTGAAAAATAGAAAAAAAATAAATTACATACAAGTCTAATAGAATTACATTGTAATTTACAACGAGTCACAATGTAATTACAACAAATTACACTCTAAAAGTACTATATTTACACTGTAATTTTTTTCCTCAACTTACCTCCTCTCTCTCTCTCTCATATCATTACCATGCTTTAATCCTCTCTACGCTTTTGGGTAACATGAATTTGACAGGAAACCGTACACTAGATGATTAACAACAACTTTAAACTATTTAATTAGTGAGCGACAAAGATAATCAGCCGTGTGCATGGATGTACAGTACCACCAGGTGGTCAAGTGCTCACGAGTTACGTTTCATGGGAGTGCCGACACAAAGAGGGCACGAATCTCATGGTTAGATTAACGGCTGAAAATTCGACAAATCTTAATGAAAAAAATTGTCGATGGAATTTTAGCATAGTCGATTATTATTGTGAGTTGAGATGAGATCTAATTGTGAATGGGCATGATATGCGAGATTAGTTATACGTAGAGATATCTTGAGGATTACATGTACGCATTACATGTACGCATATCAAACTATAGAATGCAATGCAGTTATCAATTTAATGAATTATCTTAAAACCGTAGCGTCCTTGGGAAGTTCATGTTAAATTATTTCCAAATAGTAGAGCAGCCCTTGGGAAGAAGTTGCATATTTAATTATCTCAAACCGTAGAGCCTGTGGAAGTTATTGGGATATCCATCTAGTAGTCCCTTGGTAAAAAAGATGACCTTTTTTGACTTCCGATCAAAATTAGCATAAACACAGCTTTTTTTGGAACTTAAATTTTAGCCAAAGAAAAAGGAACAAGAACAGCATCGGGAATTTGTGGAAACCGTGAAAAAACAAATAATATTTGCACCCCTGAAGCTAGCAAGCTAATTAATTAACCGATTGACACTATTACAGTATGCTTAATATAGGAATTACATAATAATTAAAATGTAAGTACAACATAATTATTATGTAAGTCCAACGTAAGTACTATTTAAGTGTGTAAGTGTAGTGTAAGTACAATGTAAATGTAGTGTACAATGTAAATGTAGTGTAAGTATAGTGTAATTATATCATATAAGTGTGTTGTAAGTACAATATAATTATATAATTATAGTGTTGAACATTATATGCACATCGTAACTTCTCTACTTTTCATTCTCTTTTGTTCTCTATTTTCATTCTTCCACTGATGTGTAGCCTTGGACAATGTTTGCTACTACTAGGTAATGTGCCGGAAGATGAGCAACATTAGCTCGGGTAAGGAGAAAGCAAAGCACATATTTAATGACTCAGGTTTGGATTTGCTTCTCTTCATGCAAAAGTGTGAGGACAAATCGAGATGAAAAAAATATTAAATCAAACCTTAATTAATTATCCAGACAGATTATCGTTATTTTGTTTGATAGAATACAACTGCTTCTTCTGCTTCTTCTACTGACTGCATTGTTTAATGACGCCAAAAAACCAAGTCAGTGGCCCTCGTACGCATGCACAAATCTTACATAAATCTAACTGTCTAAAATTTGACTCTGATTCCATAAAAAATGTGTTACCACAATTATAGCAAAACCGATTAATAATTCTTTTAACATGCGGGTAGCATACTGCTAGACTGAGAGCGCAAACAAAATAATAATCCCATCCAAATTAGAGGAGCAAGGAAATTACTAAAAAAACAAGTCTATAAGGATGTAGCAGAACATGCAAGAAACCGGCCTAATAACAACAAGGATAAAAAGAGAGGAAATTATAGGAACGTAGCTAATTTTTCACCTCTTGCCAGCCGGGGTTATGGCCGGGCGCACATGCGCATGCACCGGCACACATGCGGGTAATTCCGAGCGCTTAGCGAGAGAGGTATCAAACCGATACATAGAAGAATGTTAAAAAAATAACGAGTGAGAGATTATCGAGAAAGAGATTACAGAAGAATGTTCTCTCGAGAGATTAGATATGTTTTCATGTTTCTTGCGAAATTGATCCAAACTTGATGGCAATGCTGATCCAGTTTGTGAAATTCCGTGGATGGATGAAGATGGCGGTGGCCATCGGCAAGGAAATTCCCAACGACATACCGAAGCACCATTACACGTTCTACAAGAGAACTACAAGGAAATTGGCGGTTGGACGTGCTCTACAAGAGCCAGGAGTACAAGCTCCATTACACGTTGGAAACGAAGCACCGCAACCGCAACACGGCGAATTCCAAAGACGGCATAAGGATGGCTGCCATGGAGAACCTCTCCAACCTGAAGCCGGAGCCGGCGGCGAGCAAGCAGTTCGAGGAGCGCCGCCACCGGAGCATCGACGTCGGCGCCCTCAACTACGATCCACGCGAGCAGGAAGAGCGCCTCATGGAGAGGAACTACACAGCACAGGTGCAATGTGCAGCCCGGGGAGTCGAGTAGTAGAAAGCAGCGTAAGCTCAAGTGAAGATCAATTGGCCCTCTTTAAAAGGGCTGTACAAGAACATATAAAATTGTCCAAATTTTGATGAAAGCTAGTATAGTGATGTAGTAACATAACAAAAGGCTGATGTGGAAATCGTTTCGAAAACCAAATGGGTAAGAGTGCAGAGAAATTTTGTTTTTATCAAAAAGGACGTGTTCCATTTGAACTGACCCACGTCATGTTGGAAAAAATTACAAATAATAGCTAGGCTATAAATAAATAGCACATCCCATATTACAGTTCAAAGTGTTAAACCTAAAAGGAAACAAAAGACCACGTTGACAAAACTAGCTGCCATCCAAAGAATGTTCTTTTCCATATATCAAGACACGACACAGAGACTAACTGACAAATGACGTTTGGCACCAACCTATTTTTCCCATGAACTGGAGGCGAACTTGAAACAAATTTTGACCAGTTTCAGATGTTGCGATGACGAGCGTGCGGTTAGATGATGGTGATCATTTTTGTACAGGGATAGACCACAATGGATGGCAAAAATAGTACACTCTTTTTATTGTACAGCAGTTTGCTTCGGACATGTCCATGCCTGATGAGCAGGTGAGGCTTGCTTGTCTTTCTGACCGATCTGACTAACAACTGTTCTGGTCAACTATGCCATTTTAGCCCATGAGATTTCCTGCCCCTTCACTCATTTGCTTTGATTTCATCGGTTTTAGTTTCAACATCCACAGACGGAACTTCCTTAGTTGGTAACTCCACGTCTTCGTTATCCACAGTTTGTTCAGACGATACTGCTGTGTTGGCTGGATCAATGCTACTATCTTCAGGATCTGGCAAAACTTCTGAGACAGAATTACCCGAATCAGATGAGCCAGTGGGTTCATCTGCAGTTCTCTCTGTCTGCACCTCATCAGAAGATGGGGCTGAAGATACTGGTGCTGCCTCTGCAGCTTCTGTACTAGCTTCAGCATCACCATTTGAAACATCCAGGTGTCGCTCAATCCCTTCAGCGTTTTGTAGTTGCTCATCCTCCGTGCTAGTAGCCGGGTGTTTAGTAAATTCCGCTGCATCTTCTGCCTCCTCGATAGGACCATTCCCAAGATTGACAGTATCCATATGATCCTCAGTACCAATGACGACTTCACCATCATCAGTTTCCTCAGTGTCTGGGGAAATCTCCTCTGAATTAGGTGAAGACGAAGGAACCGCAGCCAAACGGTCAGTAATACCTCTCTCTCCATCAAATGTAAACCAATTCGAATTTGTAAAGAGGGAACTGCTTTTAAATACATAAACACATAATTAGCCCAAGGACAAAAAAACCAAAGATACCAAAGTATGTTTTAAGATCACAAATTACCCATCCTGATCATCTCCCAGTCGCAGTGAAGATATTACGACCTCTGCTGATTCATCATCAAAATAGACATCCTGAAAGGAGAAAACAATGGAAATCCACTCACTCAAAAGTACAGCTTCAACAAATATGGTTCTAGACACTATATTATCCGCATGCAACATTCTGTTCTTTTTACATGGTTGATTGAAGCAAGCATTTAGGAACTATACTGAATTTTAATCAAATTGAACTTAATACCAGGTGAAAAGAACAAAAAAGCAATAAATGGGGGTAAACTAGCATCCTTAAATATACCTCATCATCCCGTTCAAGTGTCCCTTGATTCTGCATTCAAGAAACAAACAAGTATCATTAGTATCTGGTATAGTAAGGCTTTAAGGAACTGCAAAACTGGAACATGGTTAGAGCTGGTGAGTCACTCAAGTAGATAATATATAGCACGAGTAACAGAATGATATTTTATCCACCATAGAATCCTCTCAAATTAAACCTAACAAAATGTGCTGGCAGAGAAACATGTTGACTGACGCAAACCATCAAAGCAAGAGAAACAAAATCATTCAAAACACACACCTCTTCCATATCATCATTGCTATATATCCCATATCGGAATGCCTGGCTCAAGTTATTAGCAAGAGCTGCCACATCATAATCCCTGTCTCGGAAGTCATCATCATCACTATCCCTACCACGGTCATGAAGTGATGTTGGGCGCCTGCAGCAACAAGACATATAGATAAACTATTCAGTGAAAAAACAGAAGCAAGACATGCAAGTTTAGCATGCAATCAAAAAAAGAAACAGTCACATACCCACAAGCCCAATGATAAACATTCTCCACCTCATTACGCTTGACTAGAACATCTGTTTGCCAGTCAACCCACTCACTATTTTCCTATTGTTAAAAAATAATTCGAGACAGTGAGCAGAGAACTCAGGTACTTCATAGTTCAAAAAATTAAAGACTGTTGAGTCAATGGAAAGAAAGGAAATATCACCTGCAAGTGAATCTGGATTGTGCCGTTACTGCTTCCCAACTGAATAAGCTTGTTGGTTATTCTTGTCATGTGACCAATATTCCCAATTTTGGGAATCGATTTACCATCTGAAGGTATAGTAGGCTACACACAAGACAAAAATGATGTAAGGGGATTATTACATCCAAAATTACCACAGACTGTTAACAACTTACCCCAGTAGACTCTGTTGACAAAGAAGAAAGTTTTTCCGCGGCAAGAATTTTACCAACAATGTCACAGTCATTAAGAACATGCTCAACAAGTTCAGTTCTTTTACCCTCCAGGCAAGAGACAATAATATTCTCAACATGATGGTGCAAAAAATTGTTATATGGGTACCTGCAGTTCAGAATTGTATGAAAGGGCCATTAGACCAAGGAAACAAACGAATTTTCTCGAAAAAAAAATATTGGACTTACTCGAAGAATAAATCAACAGATCGCTTTATTGCCGATTGCCTGATAAGCTCTTTCTCAGCAGTTTCACTGCCAATTGTCAGCAGAACTGAGATGAACTCCACAATCTAGGGGGGAAGAATAAATCCAGCTTAGTACAATTGCACCCAAAAAAAAGTAACGACAATCACCAAGACAGAATTTCAATGCCAAAATTAAAAAGAATGAAGAGTTATACACTGCAGATAAAGGTTAATGACAAAAGAACACTTGATGTCATAAGGACTCGAGCATGCATGAATCTCTGTTTTCTTGGATATTCCTATCTCACCCGAAATGAATTGATGAACATACCAAAACTCAGTCTTATGAGGGCAGCCTAGTGAATGACCCAGCCACGGGCACCAGGTAAATGATCAGATTATCAGGTCATCGGACGAACCACGTTTCCTTTTATTTTATAATGAAAAACTATTGATATGTTCTATATATTGAAATATACACTCCTGCAAACCAAGAAATGAGCTAGGCTCAACTAGTTTAGGTGTAAATGCCGTAGCTGTAGACCGTGAGTTCAATCCCTGGCGGCAACATCATTTCTGTGAATTAATTGGTTAAATGGCCTTAAACGGTTCGAGTCACACATTCTATCATACTGGGACGCCCAATCTGCTGGGCCAATTGCAGCACCAATCCAATTAGGTTTACCAGACCCAATCCAATTAGGTGGACCAGACTGGCACAGGTCCTGGGTCCCTTCTTTTCTGTACTCCATCTGGTCCGAGACTGAAATCTACAAAACAAAATGACTAAACCTAAACAAATCTAGGCAATTTAAATATGTTTATTAAATGCATAGATCCATCCATTAAGCAAATGACTTTGTACAGAACAAGAAATAATCATTGAATGCAGAAATGGATAAATGGTCAGTTGTAATTTGTAAATGAGCATTGCATCATCCAGTACCTTCAAACGATGTTTTCCAAGGGGTGGGCGTAAACATCCATATGTCGTAGGCAAAACATTTTCAGCATCAGAAGTATCCAATAACTTCAGCAAATTGCCTACAAAAATGGTCAGTTATAACCAATATACAAAAACTTAACATTGCAAAGGGCAGGTAGCAAGATACCCTAGAAATGGAACATATGATAAGGTCGAGTATAGATGAACCAAAGAAGATTTTTTCCTAACAAAAAAAAGCACAAAGACATATCCAGAACTCACCTAGGCTCTCAAGCATGCCATCAACAGTCTCTGGACTGGCAGTGACCAACGCCCCGTGACTTAAGTTGCTTCTAAATGCTTGATAGGAAGCTGATGCCAATCTTTTTGGATCCAACAGAGATATGCACACTGACAATGAATGAACTAGAACGGATTTGGGCCTTGATTCTTCAAGTGCATGACGAAATAGCCTCCCAACAAAACTGAAATTTCATAGAACATATGATAGAAGGTGACACAAACAGAATTCAACAATGAACAGCATATTTGTTTGATTGGTTGTTCTAAATTATTCAAAACCTCTTTAGGGTTATAAAGTTCATCGAAGAGTTGGGAGAACAGCATAAACATCTTTTTTTCTGTCCATTGCAAAAAAAATATCCATGCACAAAGTTCATTTTAAAAAGGTTTCCCGAAATCACAAGATAAGGATTAAACTGTGACTTTGTAACAAGGTTATAAAATGGAAACCTTGGGCTGCATATCTTTGCAGCAAGAGATGGAGGAGCACATCGAGTCACGGCACAAAGAATTTCGGCAGCATTGGCATGCACTTCAGGGGAGTCCTGCATAAAAATAACATACCATATAAAAAATAGGAATATGGGATAATAATATTTAGGGGATTAGCATCAAAATACTGCTAATTTTATAGAAATTACAAGCAGATATAAGTGCTGACCTACTGTGCCAGATGGATGATTAAAAACATTTCCATGTTTATTACATACATTTCTTAGCAAACAAGCTTTAGGAACTCACCGATGAGCTAAACTTATCAGCAATCATTTCAAGGACATCTGTATTTTCTAACCACTGCAATGTATCGCCATAGTTTGAGTATATGGTCTCATCAGCACCAATCAATCGTATTAACACCTGAAGGATCCCAAGGGCAGCATTAGCCAAATGCAAGCGCAGAGCAAATAGTAATTATTGATAGCCTGCTTACCTCCATTATTGATGTGATGCCAATCAGGTCAACGAGTTGGACAACTATTTCTGGATGTCCCTATAAAAGTACAGATTAGGTGTCATGAATCCACTGAATGATCAACCCAAAAAATATAAAATCTCACAGGGCAAACAACATACAAGTGTAAGTGCATAACAGTTTATCTTAAGCAGATATCTCAAAGAAAATGGTTCAGTGTGGATGATTAGCTTGTTCCAGTTAACCAAACAGCATATAATTGGAAGAACAACACAACTAAAGTGAACAGAAGACAGGACAGATGCATCGAATATTTGAATGTCAGACCTAGTCAGCTTAAATAGAATCAATAAATTAGTTCAATTATATGAGAAAGACAAGGAATACCTGAACATAAGCCATAAGAGGAGCAGTCTTCCGCAGCATCAAACATATTACCACCTAGAACAAACAATTAATCAAGCTGATTTCAACCCAGCAAAAAAAAAAAAGCAGGTTGGAGTTTAACATCGTAACCACAATAATCACCTAAAAAATTAACTTCTACAGTGCCTTCATACTATGAGTTTACCCATGGTAAAGTTACATATAATGCCTGATCAAATGAAGTACCTTGCTGAAGTAACCAGATAACAATGTGCTATGTGGATGATCGGATTTCACAAATGAGAAAAGCAATTCCATTAACTGCAACATACAGAAGGATAAATAACATTAGCTAGACAATTGTGATTAGCTACAACCACTAATGTTCTGAACAAACACTTCAAAAGGATATGAAGAAATGCCAACCTGTTCATCCTCGACTAGGGTCCTCAAAATGACATCAATTTCACATGTAAATATCTCACAAGCAATGAATGGAAACCTACAACAGATGGACAGAAAATTGAGGTGGAAAATTCTTCTCTTTACATAAATGATGGCATATGTTAACAAAAATGTCATACTTGAAAGAGCGCTTTTTTTCAGCATCATCTGGTACTTCTTCCACAACATAACGAAGCAATTGCTCCACCTGGGCTCTGTCACGCAAGCTACAAACAAAATTTTTAGTTATTATAGGCGGACTAAATAAATGTAACAACTAATATCTATTTGAAGAAACAATGAAACACTATTATACTGTAATGCATTCAACCAGTAGACTCTGGGTATATGAATGCAAATAAAAAGACATGAAGTAGAAGTGAGAAAGAACAATTGTGCCCCAGAAAAGGGAGGAAATGGAAATAGTTATGTAAACATAATAGAGGAAATTTTTGAACCATATAATAAGGGATAAAAAGGCACTATGACATACAATACTCCCAAAAATAGTATTCCACCTATATTGCCCAACAAATGAAAGAGCTACTTTTTCTTCCATATGATGGAATTAGAATTGTGCAGGTCCAACGAACAATAAGTGCCAGGAAAAAATAGCAACTACCCAATAAGCTGCTAGCTTATCTAAGAAGCAACTGAATTGCCTTTGCATCAATCACAATGAATAAGTGAAATCATAAGAACACCGTAAATGTTTCTTATTTGCTACACACGTACAACATAAGGAATGAATGGTAAGTTGCAACAGCCAATAGTACACTAATCATGTCATGCCACTCAAGTCTCCTCAAACTAATAACAGAAATATTTAAGGAAATTACAAATTTATGAGTCGTGTATTCAGAGCTTTGCACTCTTGAATAATTTCATCCTCGTCAAGAAGTTCTTCCAGTGTAAAATTTTCCTTGTCTAGGATTGTATCCACCTGAAGCAATAAAATGTTGAGTTAGGCAATATAACCAGAACCTTTACTTGCATATGTATCAATAACTTGAGGCATCAACTAGATATAAGGCTATTTTGACAACAGGAAAACAATACAAAAAAGGGAAAAGAAATTATCGCTCAATTAGGATCAGGCAATACAAATAAGTTCCAGAACTCATCAACACATAACATTGAAACGAGGTTAATCATGGCATTATGTTCAAATATGAACTCTGCAGCAATCATAAAATGGAACAAAAACTTTATCATAAGTTCAGTGATTCAAAAGATTGATGTCCAATGGCAATGCCCAAAAAGGGTAAGAGCCTATTGTACTACAACAATGCTACACCCTCACAATAAAGATTCTTTGAGCAACGCTGTCAGTGCCCAACGAATCGGAATCTTCACCTCACAATGCAAATGCAAACTAAGACTTGTATCACCAGACAGAATCACACAGGATTCATTTGTAACAATACGCCAGTCCCTTTCATGCCATACGCGGGGCTGATCCAATCCTCCCCCAAAAATCAGTAAAACCTAACCAAATCGTGGCCACAGCACACCCAACAGCACCATCCAAATCCGCCGGGAGCAGCAGAGCTACGTGCTCCCCCCCCCCCCCACCGCAATAATCACAAGCTCAACACGAGCGGCTGGCACAACAGCCCAACCAACCGCCCCATCAATTCATCCACAGCCAACCCAACAAAAAAAACACCCAACGGAAAATAAATAAACAGACAGAAGGAAAAAAAAAAACACGCAGCTCACCGCTACGCCGCGCGCGCGCGCACCAATCCTACGAAGATATGAGATAACCAGGCAGCAGCTAGAGAGAGGGGAAGAACTCACGGGCGAGGCCGCGGACAGGCCGGTCATGCGCCAGAACATGGCGGCGGAGGCGGAGGCGGATCTAGGGTTTCCGGCGACGGCGACGGCGGGCGGGGGTGGGGCCACGAATCCGCGGCCGGCGCCGCGCGAATCCGGGCGTGGGCGTGCGGATTCCGCGGCCGGCGAGGGGCGGTGGCGGGGGGCGGCGGATCGAGGGGGAGGCCGGAGCGGATCGAATTGGGATCGCGAGGGCGAGGGTGGGGGAGGGGGAGGAGGCGCACGAGAGGAGGAGAAAAGAACAGCACGCTTTTTTTTTAATTTTGAGAGGGGGGGTGGGTTTGATTTGGTTTTGGATGGATGGAGAGTTAATTTTACTTTTTGGCGAAGAGGGGGAGTGGATGGTGATAGGTCAATGATTTGCGAGGGCTTCTATAAAAAAAAAAGTTGGAACCACTTTCATTCGTTTCAATCTCATCGAAACAAACCAAAAAAGATAAAAATTTTCCTACAGACACTCAAAGTTTGTGGCCTTGTCTAAGAGACATCCAAAGAATGTTTATCTTCTCGTGGACACTGTAAAAATATGATAATTAGCTGGTGGACAACCGCTGTATTATTTTATTATTTTCGATGAAAACAAAGAGAGAAATTTTTATAAAAGACAATTTTGCCATCGGCTATGCTCGCCTCGGTAAGGTCTTAATATACCAAAAAGGTGATCGGGGAGCTAGCTGTGGCTATAGGCCCCATGCATCCAACGTGACATGCTTCTCCTCTCGTCACCGCCTCGTCTTCTCAACTTATCTCGGCTCGTGTTGGCGTCGGCCGGAAATCCTCCTCCGCTGCCTTCGACGTGCCTTAACATGAGATCGCCTCGCCGCCTCCGACAAGCCGCGTTCCTGGGGATATTCCGCCACCGTCGAGGCTGTAGAGGCGAAGGCTACCGTCGTAGTCCAGCGTGAGCCGTCTCATGACACCCTTGTCGTCCTTGTCGGAGGCGTATAACAAACTAAAAAAATGTGTCCGAAGTCATAACATAGTAGTAGTCCTGGGAATGTGAATACCGCGTTGTGTTTGGCTATGACTATACTTAATTATTGGAGGATGAGTAATGTATTATAAAGTTATTTGGTTGTTGTCTTAACTCGTAAGACGCATGCTCTATGTTTGCATAGGGTGCTTTAATGGAGTTCTTGTCTACTCCATGGTGTCCATGCTCATCTTCTACGGTTGGTTTTTCCTTTAAGGATGATTCATTCTTCTCTCTATATAATGAATAGTGAATCTCTTAGTCTTAGTTTTAAAAAGAAAGTGCCTTGGTTTTTCAAATGCCATCGTGCCTGCTTTGATATTTGCACACGGTATAAGCTACAAAATCCCTCCTCGCCAAGCTAGGGCATCTTAGAAACGTAGGGAAAAAAATTATATGCCTTTTACCAGAAATAGTTCACTTCCTTGAAAATTCTGTGAAATTCCTCCAAACTGAATGCACTCTTATTTGGGTTAAGTAGACGTGGAAGAAAGAAATTAACTCTTAAGGTATAGGAAGAATGGAAGAAAATATAGGTATAAAACTTTTCGTTAAATACTTAGTCATAGAGGAAAACATTACTTATACTTTTATGGCGAAAACACGATTATAACAATTCACGAAATATAAGGGATTGTTGAAATGTCATATTTGCACAGTCAAAATAAACAACAAATGGTATGTTTGGTTTGCGATCTTTGCAATTTGTTTCAAGGTAACCAAGACTACATAAACAGAAAACAGAAGACTAGTATGTATATTTACTTTTAAAAGTACCACATGCTATTTTGTACAAGTATTTCAAATGCCTTAGTCAAATAGATGACGTACATATAAATCTAGGGTCCTAGAAAATATTTAGACCTAAAAAGTATGATTACTTAAAACATGTTACAAAACATAGTACTCTGTATCCCCCATCCGAAAAAATGCTCATGTAAACTTTAATTTGTTTTCAAGACAACTGCATAGAAGCCGGGCGGTGGTGCCTATGCTGCAACTCGATTTGAACACTTTCGTATCTCTCAACATAAGTATATTTCATGAGAAATGATCGGACCCCTATAGCCAACATGCTCGTATTCCAAAAGCTCTTTTGTTCCAAAAAGAAAAAGTCATCGTTATTTCTTAAAACATTTGTCTTTTGAGTTTTTTTAGCAATATCCATCATCATCCATGTCATATTGTCACGAGTCTATCTAGCATGTACGTAGACATTTTTTTCTCTTATACTCCCTCCGTACTCGTAAAGGAAGTCGTTTAGGACAATGTTTAAATCAAACCTTGGGAATATAAATCATGAATAACTCTCAAGTTGTTAAGTCTGAAAATGTAAAAGTTATATGAATAGATTTGTCTTGAAAAATACTTTCATAAAAGTATACATATATCATTTTTCAATAAATATTTTTATAAAAATAAGAAGTTAAAGTTATGTTTTGGAGACCGTGTTGCTGTCCAAAATGACTTCCTTTACAAGTACGGAGGGAGTATATGTATGGTCAAAATTAAAACTCTGGCAATTCAGACTCAACGATGACGGTAAAAATTAAAATTATGGCATCTTTAATCAGAGGGAGTAACAGTATATAACAATTCAGACGTTTCAAACGTCTTGTCCAACAAATCAGAAGCTGTAACAAAATGCAGAGGAATACGCACAGATTAGATTACAGAGCATTATTCCCATACGTCAAAAAAATAACAACCAAGCAATGAATAAAAGCATCTGTCATGTGAGACTTGACATTCAGTACTCTGATATTGGAACTGTATTGTTGAGAAATAGAAAATAGCATCATATAATGAGAATTGAGAAGTTGAGAACATGCAGCAACAGACTACTGTTCAACTGTTCAAGTATCTAGTTACACATGAATCATTTCCCAGTAACCTCATAGACATCCACCTCTTCCCAAATCGAGACTATGTTGATCTATTCAAAAGACTACTATGCCTGTACTGACTTAAAATCGTCGCTAAATTCTTTCCCTTTTTAAGTTTTGGAAGAGAAGTGTATTCACGTAGAACCAGTTTCTTTGCCTACTTACAATGAACAATCACAACGAACCATGCCGGATGCAGTCACGAAGAAATGGCAGGTGAAACTGCTCCCGAGTGGCTGGCGACAATCTCACTGCATCTACTGATACCTTCGAACGCCTGCACGCATACTCCGGAAAACCCCATCAGAGCATGGAACACATTTGGAAGGCTCGTCTGAAGATTGTTCAGTGTCATGGCTCGACTAGTCCTCACGGAGTTCAGATACCTAGCCTTCTCCTCTTCAACCTGCTTTTTGAACGTGTCCAGCTTTGCAAGTGTAGGCTGGCCCGAATTTTGGGTTGCATTGTTGCTGTGTTTCTCTAACTGGGTATGGAACTTGCTCTCGATTTGGTCGGACTTTTTCTTCAGTTGACGCTCCTCAGTCTGCTGTACAACTATAGTGTGTATAACTGACAGAAAAGTCTTTATTGCTTCTGCAGCTACCTGTTTATAAACAGAACATTTATAAGAAAAAAAACCACGAAGAAGGCAATCGAAGTGAATGATTATGATAGAGCTCAAATTCTGGCACATGAGTACAATATACTGGGAACATCTTTATTTAGAAAAGTGGCATATTCTTAAGCAAAAGTTCCTACAAGCTTGATTTCACTGGATAACACACAATGTTAAACTAATAAAACAAGTTGGTTTTACTCTACCTTCTCAGGTAATCCTGTAAGAGCTCGCTGGAGTTCTGCACAGAGACTACGAATTCCTGACGAACTTTTCATAAAGCCATCGTTATCAGGCAGGCAATCAGTGAGTTTAATCCACTGGTTAAGGATGGTTACGTAGTCACGCTGTAAGGTGATGAGATTGCAGAATGAACTATGCCATGCAGAAACTTCAACTTCCAGCTGAGATGTTGCCTGACAATGAGTGTCAGTTGTTGGTTCATTCCCTGGTAAATTGCCTAGAAGATTGGCTTGCTGGGCAATGTGGTTCTGAACCTGATGGCACTCATACATGTTTCTCCACATATGCACAAGCCTAGAACGTGAAAAGATATATCATAGAACAAAATAGCATCATAACAAGGAATATTTTCAGTATTAGCAAGATATCATTGTAGCCATAGCACTGGCTCAGTTTGAAACATATTATTGAGCGGATTATCTACTTGATTATAGGGATAAACTAAATGTTTTGATAGATAAACTTCACAAATAGCAATGCAGTAGAAGAAAGTTTTTTGAGAAAATGTATTTTAGAAGCGTGGAACAGATAATCTGTTTTAATAACCCAGTGAACAATCTGAAAATAACTAAGCCACAAAAATAATTGAAGAGATACGTGCTACCACAATGATGTTGCACATCATAACTAGGGCACTTAGTAGTACTAATTATTTCCATAGGCCAATTGTCATGGGCTTCAGAATGTAAGACAACACCAATTAGCTTAAAAATTATAATTGGGAGCTCTGAATGAAACTATCAGCTACATCGGGGAATGAAATTTGAAATGCATTACTCTATAACGCTAATTCATATTATGAACTGAAATCAGATACCATGCACATAAATGTAATATAACAGCCTAGAACTTAGGTAACTAAAGTTTGAAGCTCACCCTGCAGATAATTCAATAATCTGAGGATATAACTCCTCATCTCTGAGCTTTGATATGGACAAACATGTCAAACCAACAGCTTCCTCCAAAGAGATTATCCGAGCTTGCAATTCCTCTATATTATCTCGCACTTTCTCTGCATGCAATTTATCATGGTCACCTGATTCTAGTCTTTGTAGCAACGAGGTGTTCTTTCTGTACTGGAGCCTTGCAAATTCTTCATCCTGCAACATAGGATGATAATAATCAACAACATATAGACTTTTTGAGTTTTGGTTAGTAAAATGTGGTAATATGTAGGCATTTCTTCATCAGGTACTAAGGTATCCTGTTAATGGATTACAAACTTCTCTGCTCAAGAAACAACTCCCGGATAATTAAGAAACCTGAAATCTACCATATAAGCTATTATCTCCTGCATGGCTACATGATTGCATTGTGTAACGTATTGTAAAGAAATGCAAAAACTAGGGCTTCTGTAATTCACCTTGACTAACTTGTAGAGTTTTTGCTCCTCTTCATAAAGTTTCTCTAGTGTTTTGCCATGGTAACCATATCCAGAGGCATCACTTGAATGCATTGAGGATTGTCTATTAGCTTGCGCAGATTTGAATGACCAGCTCCAAGAAATTGTGGAAAAAACCTTGGCGGATTTGGAATTTTTTCCTGCACCTAGGACAACAAATGTTATTCTCTGGAAGTGATTGCTTGCGAATAAACACTTTTCTTGTCCTTTCGTACTTAACTTTACTGTAATAGAGTAAAGAATAGAATGTTCATGATCTTGAAAAGTTTAGTACAACCAATCATTTCATTTCCCATGGATGTAGCTTTATATCTATATATGTGTTTCCAGGAGTTGGAATTATAAAATAGTAGCATTAAGAAATATTAAAATGATGGCAAACACTAAACAGAGACAAGATACTGTATATAATACCTCTGTTTGCCTCTAACTCTGAGGGATCTGGCTGCCCACCAGAAGAGTCCAAAAGTATGACGATGTCACTCCCACTCGCCGCTGCTTTCAAGAAGTATTCATCAATCTCCTTGGCAATTCCTGCCAGCGACTTCTTACTCCTCCAGGCCATCGCTGAAGTGTCTGAGTCCTTTGTCACCCAGCTAACCATTGATGAATTGTCATCACCTAGAGCCCTACTCTTGGCTTGATTCAACTGGACACTGCTCACAATGCCTTCAACATTACCAGACACACTTTCATCGTCATATCCATCAAATTCTGTGTTAGTCTCCACCCAGTTATCATCATCCATGGTCACCTGTGAGGCCGCTTCTTTATCAATCCTATCAGCCAATGAAGATGGAAAATTTAAGGGACGCATTGCAAAAGGTTCCAAGTACTCCCACTCAACCCCTGGTGGCGGGGGAGGTGGTAGAGGAGTCGAGCAGCTGTCAGTGTCGTCGTCGTCGTCTGTAGAATCATCCTCATCAAGTTCACCGTCTCTCTTTTTCCTCCTTATCACTATTGGACTAAACGGTAGCGGTGGTGGAGGGCGTGGTGAGGGTGGCAATGAGGATGTCATCGAGTACGGTGGCACTGAGGATGTCACTGAGTATGCAGGAGGTACTGGCACCGGTGGTGGCGGTGGAGGTGGAGGTGGAGGTGGTGGTGGTGATGGATGCACTGCAATACCTGCAGGGGGCTGCTGTGACAATGCAGACTCCACCTCGGCGAATTGTCGAAGTGTGGCTCCTGTGTTTCGGAGTGACTGCAGGTAGGCGGTTTGTGCAGCCGCAAGCTCAACTCGGCGCCGCATTAGCTGCTTCATCAGCTTCCTCCTATCCTTGCACCTCCTGACGGCCTCCTCATCCTCCACCTTGGAGTGTGTGCAACCCATTTGCCACCAGCACACACAAAGAACTCCCCACCAATCTTGGAAAGATTGCAGATCACACCACAAACTGAAACCCCCAAAGGGTACTTTCCTGGCCCAACCCAAATTGGCTGGAATTCGTCACAATTCACACCCAAAATGCCCCAGCTTCTAGGCATGGGACATGGACAGGACCGATTGCCAAACGGGCTTCCTCAATTTCCGACGAAATTCACCGAAATTTGCCCTCAATTTGCACCCAAGAAACCGATGGGCAAAATTGCTCCTCTTCTCCAACAACCGCCCACCAAATTACATACTGCCGCCGCCCTTACTCCTGCATCGAATTCTTGCAGGGCAACAGAGTCGATCTAAAAAAACGAGAGGTATCAAGATATCAGCTACAGCGAGCGAGGCAATACAACAAACAAGAAGCGGACATGAACCCAAAAAAAGAAAAGAGCCACAGATTCTTCAAGAGAAGCGCGAGGTGGGGCGCCTCGTTGCCTTACCTTACCCAGAACGGCACCACACCTCAAGAAACCGCTCCCAGGTCACCAATCTCGGACCTGTTGGTCTGCTTGAAAGCTAAGCAGGACTGGGGAAAGAAGGATCTACACATCCAGAAGAGAAGAATATGCCAAGAAAGGCAAAAAAAAGATGCAGAAGATGTTAAATTGGTAATGGCATCATCTGACCCTCCTCAATCCGCAAGAACCCATCTCTCTCTCTCTCTCTTCCTCTCTTCCGGTAGGTGGGCAATTGGGAGAAGAAAGAGAGCGGTTTTGGGAGGAGAAAGAAGGGGAAAGAGGAAGGTGCGGGGATTTGGTTTTGCGGGCAGGTGGTAATAATAAAAAAAAGTATAGTACGGATCTCCACTCCAGTGGAGAACTCGTGCAGGATGGAATGGAATGGATGGGGATTGAGGTTGAGGATGGTGGTGGTGTAGGGAATGTGGTCAGAACTGCCACTTTCCACTGCCACCGAAACTCCTCTCCACTTGTCCTCTTCCCTTCCTACTTTCGCCCTCCCCCTTCCTTCCCTTCCCTCGCCAGCTTGTGCTTGGTTTTTGTTACGTGCACGCTGGTTGTCCCCCCCCCCCACCCCCAAGTGCTTTTCTTTTTCTGTACTCCTTCAAAAAAACACAAGCACAGTGACACACATTATTTTAGTTTTTACAAATCAGCCTATGATATTTTTTGTACTATGGAACAGTAAGGCATTTATTTCAAACAAGTGATTACCATATATTTAAAGAAAAAGTACGAATTACCCCCCTCGAACTATCGCGGTCGACCGAATTACCCCCTGAACCATAAAACCGGATATTCTTTACCCCCAACTATGCAAACCGGACGAATTACGCCCTTGACCCAATCCACGGCGATTTTGGTCTACGTGGCGTACGTGTGGCAGTCCTGACAGCATTTTATTTTTTTAAATGGTGGGACCCACATGTAATACCCCTCTATCTCTCTTCCTAATGTCTCTCTTTCTCTCTCTCATGGGCGGAGGCACGCACGGCGGCGCGCGGCGTGAGACGAGGAGGGGAACCGGACGACAGCGTGAGGCCACGGCGGCCGGCGCCACGACGGCGAGCGCCGCCCAACTTGATGTTCCCCTCGGCCACCATGACGGCTTGAGTTTCGCATCTGAGGACGTCGTCCTGAGCATCAGGTTGGGCGGCGCTCGCCGTCGTGGCGCCGGCCGCCGCCGCGGGCGAGGACCGCCGCCGCGGCCTCACGCTGTCGTCTGGTTCCCCTCCTCGTCTCACGCCGCGCGCCGCCGTGCGTGCCTCCGCCCATGAGAGAGAGAGAAAGAGAGACATTAGGAAGAGAGATAGAGGGGTATGACATGTGGGTCCCACTATTTAAAAAAAATAAAATGCTGACTGGACTGCCACGCGTACGCCACGTAGACCAAAACCACCGCGAATTGGGTCGAGGGGGGTAATTCGTCCGGTTTGCATAGTTGGGGGTGAAGAATGTCCGGTTTTATGGTTTAGGGGGTAATTCGGTCGACCGCGATAATTCGGGGGAGGTAATTTGTACTTTTTCCTATATTTAAATAAGCAAACAAGTATACTAACATATTTGGTAAAAAATATATTTTTTCTATGACATTATAATATAATTTATTTTACCTATACCAAAGCATAGGTGTTTTGCTATTTTTTTTTTAGAAAAAAACACAGCACAAACAAAATCACTCACATACGCGCAGACACTCATGTTTATAAACACATGTACGGCTTACAACTATAGGCACCTTCGAATACTGGGTTTTAGGGGCACTTGGCATAAATTGATAAACCATAAAAAATTAAAAAAATATATGGTATCTTGTTGATTTGAGAACTAATGTTGGAAGATTAACTACAACAAAAAAAACTTTAAAATCAGCTCTAAATTTAATATTCAAATTTTAAATATGCTGATAAGCTAAAAAGCAAATGATGGTGTTGTTGATTCATAAGAACTTTGAGAGGAGGGATATTATTGGTCCATGTATTCTCGTTATTGGAAATCTCGCATCATATTTAAAATAACAGTCAAAATAACACTTACCTATAATAATGGTCTTTTATACGAGCAAAGAAAACTAATATAAGCTTCACAATTTTGTTAGAGAACAATGGCCAAATCTCTTCTTTAAAAAGAGGTATTGCAGCCCCTCTCCTCCCTTTCATATCTCCGCGTCAGCAAAATGGATGTTAGAGCCACCTCATTTATTCATTTGTTATATGCTCTTATGTATTATTGATTTGTGTGGATAGAAAATATGTAGTTTAAAAACAATAATGCACTTAGAATATAAAGTACATTCTTAATTAAAAAACATAAATAGGATCTCACAATTGTACGACACGTTGTACTTATCTTCTGTGGCTTGCACATATTGGCATGTTCCAACAAAGTTCATTGGATTCTTTCTCAACATGCCAAATCTATTTTTCTGTTCAACCTACTTTTTATAATTGGGTTGGTAAGCTTTCTTTGTTTATGGATGTGATGATATTTTTAATAATTAGCGTACTTATACGTATGTAAAAAAAATCAAAGAGTGTTGCATACGACAGAGTAGCGTGCACCTAGTAGAACCATCCATCCTCTTAACTAGCTAGTCAATACTAATTGGTTAATTTGCAACGACTTAACAACAAAGTGTACTAGTAACTTCTAGAAAAGGTTGTAGCACAAGTTTGGGTTAGCTTGTGGGTAGGGGTGGGCAGAAAAAGACCGAACCGAAAGACCGAACCGAAAAGACCGAGACCGAGACCGAGAAATTCGGTCATCAATTCGGTCCTAGGTAGTGAAAGACCGAATTTTGTTCGGTCAATTCGGTTAGTCTCCTCGGGTAACCGAATAGACCGAAAAGACCGAATTACCAAAAAAATGTCTAAATGCAACATACAATCCACTATGTTTAATAGATTAAACTCTAATTTTCACATCCTACTTCTTCTAGGCATGCAACCTATTAAGAGTCTTTACTCATAAGTGCTTATGAATTTTTTTTGTGATTTTTATGTTGAAAATTTCCATTGTTTCTTTGCATATATGAAAATATTGTTGAATTTCGGTCAGGACCGAGACCGAAAAGATCGAGACCGAATTTGTCGGTCCTGACATTTTTTTACTAAAATTCGGTCTTCGCTTTTCAAAGACCGAAAAGACCGAAAGACCAAAGACCGAGACAGAAATTTTCGGTTAGACCGAATGCCCACCCCTACTTGTGGGTGGCACTAACCGTTTCCCAAACACACTGACGACAGATACACCTAAACATGATACGAAGTAAAAAAAGATAAGTGTTGGGCCAATTTGGATTGCTACCAAAAACATGCCCTACCAATATTTTGGTAATTGAATAGTACTTGCGTTTGATTTGGATTGAAGCCCATTCATTGGTAATACCTAATCTAGATTTGGCATTATCTAGAACATTCTTTACTACAATTTCACATTTTGACTCTATGTTGGTAGCAAACTAAATATGATAAAAATAATCTTAACTTACCAAATATTTGGTAGTGCCAAAACTTGGCACTACCAAAAAATTGATAGGGTAACAATCCAAATAAGCCCGTTGACTCGCTAGTTCTTTAGGGTATTGACTAGTTCTTTAGGGTATTGACACAGTGCTGGCCGAAGCTATTAAATGGCTTCTTTTAACGTGAGTAGTAGGTATGGTAAAACACATAAACGGAAAAAAGGTGATTCTTATACATATGACATTTGCAAAGCATAGGGTTATGAAACGAAACGAAACAAAACACATAAATGATTTGAATAGACCACCAAATAGGACGATAATTTAAGGAGAAAAATAAACCAAAAGAAAATTTCTACAAGGTTAGTGTGGCTCTGTGCCCCCCCCCCTAACCCCAGCTGATTGGAGTTGTGTTTAGTCATCGTAGTAGTCTCTTCTTTTTTTTTGTTGTGTTTTTTTTCTCTTTTCTTGGCATAAGCTAATCTAGCTGATTGTGTCGTGTAACAAAATTTTTTCTTTTAATATATTGACGTACAATGCTTTTGCGTGTTCACGGAAAAAAAAAGAGGTTAGGTCCATGTTAAATTTCATCTAAAATCCTTATGTATTGAATAATTCAAAAGAATTTCACAGTATCACAATCATCTATTAAAAATAGAACGTTCTCCATTTCAAACCCTACAAAACTCTTCGCTAAAAATTCGTTCTTCAAAAACTGCCGTTAATGTTCCAAAACCCATCGGATATTAAGATTGTTCGTCATGAGCTTTTCTCTAAGATTTTAAAAATCTCATAACTAATTAACAGATTAACACTATCCTTCGATGTGACATCACTCAGATCTGACTGTCTCATTCTGAGTTGGTATTATGTCAATAAAAAGATGTCTAATTAATGCTAAATAATTGCAAAATGTGCCCACCTAAACAAATAGTAGTAGGAATAAATGGTCAAATTTCATGACGGTGAGATTTTAAAGCATTATTAATGGAACATACTTATGTTCGATGTTCTAGACAATTATTATATCTGTTTTCAACTACTAGCTCCGTTTCAGGTTATAAAACTTTCTAGCATTGCTCACATTCATATAAATGTTAATGAATCTAGACACACATATATGTCTAGATTAGGGATGAAAACGGAGCGGATAGTTTCCATCTGCTCCGGCAAAAAACGAATACAGATAACTTTCGGATCGGATAATTCGGATACGGATACGAATACGGATATTTTCTTCCGGATACGAATACGAATATGGTATCGGAGTTTCCGTCGGATACGGATAATAATTCGGATATCCGCAGAAGCTATGAGACATACCCCATTTTTTATAACTATATGACCTTCAATATACATTTTTAGATTTTAATAGTGGTTTATCTGTTAACACTAGTCCACACTCATATTATTTAAATTTTTAAAAATATTTATAAATTATACTACATTTAATATAAAGTGAGCTAATTATATATGTTGATATTTGTTTCTATTAGAAGTTAAGTTGGTTTTCGTGTTCCGAGAAAAATTTGTTTCCGTATTCGTGTCCGGTCATATTCGATTCTTATTCGTATTCGAGATAATCCGTATTTGTTTCCGTATTCGAGCTATCCGTATTTGTTTCCGTATCCGGTAAAAAATATGAAAATGAATACGGTATGAGCATTATCCGTCCGTATCCGCTCCGTTTTCATCCCTAGTCTAGATTCATTAATATATATATATATATAAATCTAGACATATGTTAATGAAACTAGACATATATGTGTGCCTTGATTCATTAACATCTATATGAATGTGGAGAAAGTCTTATAATATGAAACGAAGGAAGTAGTTGCTATGAAAAAGAGAGAGAGAGAGAGAGAGAAACTTTGTAAAGAATTGTTGCAAATGGCACCAGTGCATTTATCACAAAAATTACTTTCAAACAATAAAATTTTCTCTAAATTTTCAATTCCAATTTAAATATTTTTTATAACACATTATTAATTAGTTTAATTTGAATTAAGAATAGCTCAGCTAGTTAAGTTTTTTTTAATGGAACTTGTTCACTCATGTTTAAGTCCTACGATTGACATAAATACTCATATTTATTACTAGTTATATTTTTAATAGCAGACGATGTACTTATATATGAGTTAATTATTTTTTTAGTGATAGACGATGTATTCATTACTAGTAAGATGTTCGTGGTTAAGCATCTAACTGTTTTTTTTTGGTGAAAGATAACGTCCCTGTTGAGAAGTTGACAATGAGGTGTATGCGGTTAAGAGTGTTTGTGTGCGTGTAAGCTTCATAGGTGCATTTGTTCTGTCTTACGTAAAAGAAAAAGGAAAAATCTACTCTAGCTCCATCCTTCTTTTTTCTTTCTTTGATCTAATAGCTCCATCTTGGACAAAGGCACTGGAGCGACTGATTCCCGTGTGGCTTCACAGATAATGAGCCGTGTATGCATGTACCGTGTACATCGTATTAGGTAGTTTTACTCTATTCGTTTCAAAATAACTCAATCTAAAATAAGATGTGATACATCTAAGTCAATCAACGTGAACATATTTTTCGGGACAACGGAGTACGTGGCAGGGAGCGTAAATCTGGCGGCCAACTCGTAGCGGTTGGATCCAGAAATGATGGCATGTTCGGCCGAGAATGATGGCGGTGTATTCGGTGGTGGATCCTTCTTGGGCCGCCTGAGGACACAATCACCTTCTTCTCCCTGCTGCCTGCCTGCACGGCGCCACCCATGGAGCATGTGACTGCGAGCAACTCATTAAGAAGAGCCAGCTCAGGCTTGCCTCTTTTCTCTTCTTAAAAGAAGGGGCCCTAGACCTTGGATGCCAGAGACAAGCTCAAGGAGAATTATATGAGAGAGAAATGACAGCAATTAGGAATTTGGGGTGGGTCACTATGTGGGTATTTCTACTCGCTAACTCACGCTGGTTTCATTTAAACGATAGTAAATTTCAGAAGGTAGTCTTGCTCGATCAGAACCTTAAGTGAAGAACTCAATTAAATAATAATAATCATACTCTATGTTTTAAAATTTACAAAAAATTGCACTCAACAGTAGAATGGTTGGTTTTATAAAACTTTAAGAGTATTATGGTAATGTGCCACCAATTTAATGCCTAGTTTTTTAAATAAAGTTTTGACTATAAAATACAGGGTTTTTTTTTCTGAAATTTACTCGTTTAGTCATTAAGTAAATTATTTGTCACATATCATCTATTTTATTATAGAGCTAATTAAATAATTTAAGAAATAATCTTAACAAATAGTATCTTAAAACAAGTGATTTAAACAATAAACTGTAAGAAATTTCTTTGAAAAATATATTTTTTTGAAGGGTAGAGCAAATAATCTGGTGAATAAGCGAAAAGAGCAATGTCTTATTCTAATTGAGAAAAATCAACTAAAATAAAATTTTTAATAAATACTACGTATTTAGTTTATTTTATTAATACTACTTTCTTGGAGTGACTCATGCCCGTCACTATGGACAATTATACGGTACCTCTTAGAAGAGGCTGTTAATAATTGTGCCTCCGGCATTAAAGTTTAGGGGAAAAAAAGCAGTATCGATGTATAATTGTTTTTTTTCTTAATCTGCTAATAAAGAAGCGTAAGAATCACCTGTGATCTTACTGATCTATTAGTAATTCTTAGATGCCATTCGTCTGTTTCTTTCATTTGTCCTCTGTTCCGTCGGGAGGCTTTAGTGGGCATCTGGAGCAGTGGAGCCCATGTCGGCTAGACAATGCCTTAATTCATCGAAAGTCTCGTTTGCAAGAGAACATTACTTTTGTCCGATGTCCTGGTAAAGCATACACAGCGACGAAATACAATGATACACTTTCTTTTTCCCATGATCACACAGCTGAGAATAACCGATCAGTTGCGTTACATGAATTGCATGCGTAATTACACTCATTTTCTCTTTGATGCCAAACTAGCTCACTCCAGAACAATGGCATATATGCTCGGAGTATCTTGATGCACTATGCTGCAGCCTAACTGAACCTTTGTCTAAAAGGTTTCAGACAAAGGACGTATGATTTGCAACTACTGACAATTACTCTATTTCCTCCTACCGAGTACTCCCTCCGTCCCATAATATAAGGAATTTTTGGTAGAAATGACACATCTTAATACAATAAATCTGGATAGAATATGTCACATCCACCCAAAATCCCTTATATTATAGGACGGAGGGAGTAGTATCCAACTAAACATGGAAAAATTGAACCAGTAGAACCAGGAGGTTACAAAATCTGTGTTCTTGTGTGGCCGTTTAGTTAAGCCTAAAACACCAAATAGCACCTTCAACATCTCACCTGGTAGTGCTGATTGACGATGGAGCTATGCACAGATTTTCCATCCAGTCTTGTATGTACATCAGCAGCAGCACATGGAGATCAGAATCTAGCTGCCATGAGTGCCATCTATTCGGCGATCATGACAGTGCAGTTTCCTCAGCGCCTTCACTACCTTATAGCATCTCCAACAGTCTTTCTAAATCCAACTCTCCAAATATCTATTTGGCCAACTCTCCATCTAATTTAGCAAGTCAAACACGTTGTTTACTCCAACAGCTTCTCCATTCACCCTCTCTATTCTGACTCTATAACAGTAGGACACACGTGTCAGCCTCTACAGCTCTTCTTCTTCCTCGTACTTCTCCATTTTCCCCACACCCCTCTTTATCCTCTCCTGTGGACAAGAGGGCGATGGCAACGACAGATCCACTCCTCGTCGGCCTCGTCCTCCTCGATAGTCGCCGGAGGAGGAGAGGAGGGTGACCTCAGCAGCCATGACGTAGCGGGATCTAGAGGAGGCGCGTGGCGAGGCACCGCCCCCTCCGCTCCGCTCGCTGCATCGGCCGGCCTCTCCTCCTCATCCGCGCATCACCACCACCACCACCGGCCGGCGACCCGATGAGCCCTCCCTTCTCCTCCTCGCCTTCGCGTCAGCCCGGCATGGGGTTCCGATCTGCTGTTGCTCCCCAAGCAGCTGCTTCACCTCCTACTGGTGCTCAGCTAGCACAGGCGCTGCCGCCGCAACAGGACAGGCAAGGTCGCCCGCGAGCTCCCCAAGCTTGCCGGCGGCGGGCGGAACCACCCCGCCTCGGCGATGCTCCCGCTCAACCTCTGCAACCTGACCCGTGGCGCCGACCCGGAGCCGGAGGTGATCATCCCGCTGCTGGTCTCCCATCTCGCCGGCGGCAACGAAGCGACGGCGATGGCGAGCTTCCTTCCCCGTGGTGGCGGCAGGCACGAGCGGATCGGGAGGAAGGGCGGTGCGGCAAAAGGAGGGAGGGCACGGGCAGGGATGGTGCGGCTGGTGGGGAGAGAGAGGAAAAAGTTGGTGGGCCCACGGATGGACAGTGGCTGAGGGTGGCCAAAGGCTGGCCAAGTTTGGCTAGCTCGAGCCCATGTTTGGCCATTGCTAACTTTTGGCAATTGGGATAGCCATTCTGTTTGAGTGTGTTTTTGTATCAAATCAGCTAAAATTTAGCTTGGAGAGTGGTATGGAGAGGCTGTTGGAGATGCTCTTACACAGCTCGTCCGCATGAAGCCACACCATCCGCGCAACCTCCTCCCATCTTGCTTGGCTCCAGGCTAAGGAAAGACTCGATCAGATCACTGTCCACAAATCCCTGGGCCGCACCTACGCTCCTGCCGTCAGTACAGAATGCCCGCCACTGCGCGTGGGTAAGGTTGCCAACGCTCTTGATGTAATCAGCGAGGACAAGCTGCAGCTTCTCGAGGAACATGATGCATGTCCAGATTCAAACCCAAGGTTTGTCTTTTTTGGGACGGAGGGAGTAATGTGGAAGAGAGGCAATGACACCGATGGCGCCACTGGCCGTGCCGAATGTTAGAATTGTATCTCGTGTATATCTCTGTTTCCCTATTTTGCCGATTCCCCTTATCTCTCTCGGTTCAGTTTCTATGAACCGGCTGAGTGGATAAGGGAGATTTCGTGCCTATATGTACTCCGCACCGATATCAATCCAATCTATTGCGTTGAGTCTATTCTGCTTTCACCGAAGATGAAGGCAGGAATCTGGTCTACTTCTGAGCCTGGATCTTGCATCACAAGGGGGCCTTGATGGAATCTGTTCACCAGGTCCCCCAGATGGTACTGCCCAATGACTAAAAGCCTCCCAACACGGCGCTTGAGCACGGTAAACAGGTTATAGCAATTGTCCGCGCCAATATAAACGTAGTCGTCGAGCATCTCAACCGCAGTCATCCAGGTTATGTTATAGTCCCTGCTGAGTTCATCTGTCTGTTAACAAGAAACACATAGCTGATAACTGTACAGAACACGAAGTGGAAAAATAAATGCTTCTAATCATGAACACAGTACCTGTCCCTTGTTTGTAGGGCGTCCAATGTGGTCAGAAGCATCTCTCCCTGACCTGCATATTACATACCGATTTTCCTGATTCAAATAGACAAAAGCGTTCACAAATTTGCAAGATGACTTTGCTCTGCTGTCTGGTGAGAACTTGATAGATGCCAATACCTAATATAAAGATGCAGAACCTTGAAATCATACATTCATCTACAACTAACATAGTGAAACATTTTCCCTGCCCACTAGATCAATAGATACTTAAATTAAGCAAAACCTTTTCATGGCTACTCACTCCTAATAACTTGCTAAGGTGTGCGCAATCTTTTTACGTATTCCTGAAAAATGTTAAATTTATAGCTCGTTCAAGGATATATTGATAGATTAAGTGAATGAATGCATGTCTATGATTGGTTCCAATGAATTCTTTGAGAGGCTAAAGGGGCTAGATTGGACTTTAATGTCAGTCTGGCAGTCAGGTCACTATCACATGCATACTTTAAAACCATCTGAATGTTTGATTGCAGGAAAAATACCGTTGCCACGGATACATATTTTAGGTTGTGTTCGGATAGTAGGGTTGAGAACCCAATCTCCCCGCACGGAAAACGGAACGGTCCATTAACACGTGATTAATTAAGTATCAGCTAATATTTTTTAAAAAAATAGATTAATTTGAATTTTTTAAACAACTTTCGTATAGAAACTTTTTTAAAAAACGCACCGTTTAGCAGTTTGAAAAGCGTGCGCGCGGAAAACGAGGGAGAGGGGTTGGTAACTTGGAGTTCCAAACACAGCCTAACAATATCTACTGAGGAAGGAACTTAAGATAAAAATGGAGTTTAATAATTGCAATCTATATAAAAATAATGTGATGATGGAGAGATCAAACCTTGTAAGAAGCTTTGACTTACTCCCATCCCAGTGAAGAATACAATATCTGTATCTTTCCGTACAAATGAAAAGAGAATCTTAATTCTTGAGGTTCATTCAAGGAATGAAGAGCGTTATCTTTTCGCTTATGCTTATGCTTTTCAACTAAAATTTGAATTTTTAACTTCAAATTTGGAGTTGATTTTGGGGTTTTTTCATTGAAATTTATTTTTCAGCTTTTGCTTTTAAATTGCTAAAAACACGTATATAAAAGTTTTATTCACAAATTATTTTTCGTTTGCAAATATGCCATAACGATGGGACCGGAAAACATAAGATCTTAAGATCAGTCCTACAACAATACTGTCTGAAGGCAGGGAGAATCTTTCAATTTTTTAGCTGTAGAAACAGAGTACAAACTTACACATGGACGGAAGAGCTCAATTGTTGCAATTCTACCATACACAGGTGCATCAAGCATAGGCTGGTAAGGAAAGAAAAGGTCTTACAGAGTTATAGTTGTAAGAATATCATGTAACCAGTTGATCTGCCAGGACAAATTCTAACTTGTCAACTAAAAGTATATCAGCATTTATCTGAACAACAGTAGCCATTATGAATAACCTTAAAAAACACCTTTTCAACAATTGATGCTAACAACAAGGCACAGTTATTTGCTGTCCATAATAATAGATAGGTTCAAACAGAAGGAACATATTCTGGTCGAGGCAAATCTGTCTGACCTGAAGACCCTGATGAGTAAGCAGATACTCCAATCTCAATACGGGTAAATTTCCTGAAAGTTGTTGTACGGTCAAGCTTTAGCCCAAACAAATGAAGGATGTACATAAAATTTTGGAGAAAAATAGAAGTCAAATACACACAAAAAAAACATATTAGAAAAAACACAATCAATCTAAGTTTTATTAACTCACAGATGTTTTACTGCTTCACCATCATCACAGTACCACGAATTTTTTTTAAAATAAATGAGTAGGCTAACATCCACTACAACTGAATCCACAAGCCCATTTCTGATGAATGACTAGTGTGAATGACTAGTGTGCTACACGAACTGAGAATTCCAAACAACAATACATGGAGAAGGAAAAATAGAACAAATACACGGGGGAGCTCTTAAATTTCCCACAAAACCCACTGTGTCCAAATTGGGACGCAAATCGCAAGCACGCCCCATTCCAAAAAACAAAAAAAAAAGGGGAGCACCTCCACCTCGGTGTAGTACGATCAACCTAGCACGAAAGCATCGAATCGATCATCACAGCAAACATCGACGGGGGAAATAGGGTTTAAGCGGGTAAAAAAAAAAAAACCAACACGCAGCCGCAAAGCCCTAGCGCCCGCCGCGATCCCGCGGAGGAGGAGGAGCAGGCATGTGCGGTGAATGCGTGATCGATCGAGCGAACAAGCGAGGCGAGCGCTTACGAGAGGTCGAGGTGATCGGGCGCGGTGAAGTTGCCGACGCAGGAGCGGGCGACGACCGTCAGCTTGTGCGCCGTCACCACGTAGTTCCACGGCCTCATCGCCCCAACCGCCGCTGCCGCCGCCGCCGGGTCCCCCGCCATCGCCGCGCCGCCCACCGGAGGAGAGCTCAGCGACGAGAGAGGGAGCGGTTGGAACTTGGAAGCAGCGGTGGTGGTGGGTGGAGCAAAAGCAAACTGCCAGGCGGGCCGCACGGCGGGTTGTCTTGTGGTCGTCGATCTGGGCCTATGGGCCCTCTTAGATTGGGCTTTGGGCTATCTACTTGCTTTCGAGGCCGCCTCCACTCTCCGGACCAGAAACACACCTGGGCTGTTGATTTGGGCCCATGAACACACGTGAGAAAGAGAGTTCGAGCAAGTTCGTTTCACTCTCTGATCTCAGCCGTTCAATTACCCAACCAACGGCCAAAAAAAAGGAGAGATTTGATAATATAATTTAATCCTCCGTAAATGGGTTTCGATTATTTGATATTTTGGTCCACTTTCATTCACTCAGATGTTCTCATTTATCATCCTTATAAAAAATAATTAAAGTAATTGAAAAAAGTGTTAAATTATTAAACTTCTTCCAAAAAGGTGCCCGAATAATGGCTGAGATGTCTCCACAGCTTACACTAGGAAATCCAATCCACCGTGGCATTTTCTGTGGCTCAAGCTTTGATCACCCACACGATGGGCCCAGCCCAGAGATAAGCTGCTCTCCATTGGCCACACTCCGATTCCTCTCTTCCTTCCTAAAAAAAAAAGAAACAAAAAGAAGCGTCGAATTCTTGCTTCGCCAGAGGAAGAAGAGAAGAGAGAAGGGGAGGAGGAAGAAATGGCTGCCGTCCAAGCAGCAATCTCCACCTGCTGCTCTTCGTCTTGCCTGTCCCGGCCGCCACCGCCGTTCGCGAGGAGGCGGCGCTTCAAGGTCACGGCCATGGCTCCCCAGAAGAAGGTAACCAAGCTAGCCATGCCCCGTCTCGACTGAAATTGGAGATGTGTTCATCCATGATCCATCCATGGCGGATTAATTGGTTGGATATTGGGGGTGCAGGTGAACAGGTACGACGAGAAGTGGTCGAAGCAGTGGTTCGGGGCGGGGATATTCGCGGAGGGGAGCGAGGAGGTGGAGGTGGACGTGTTCAAGAAGCTGGAGAGGCGGAAGGTGCTGAGCACGGTGGAGAAGGCCGGGCTGCTGTCCAGGGCGGAGGAGCTCGGCGTCACGCTCTCCTCGCTCGAGGAGCTCGGCCTCCTCTCCAAGGCCGAGGACCTCGGCCTCCTCAGCCTCGTCGAGGCCGCCGCCGCCGCCTCCCCCGACGCCCTCGCCTCCGTCTCGCTCCCGCTCCTCGTCGCCGCCATCGCCGCCGTCGTCCTCGTCCCCGACGACTCCGCCGCCCTCGTCGCGCTCCAGGCCGTCCTCGCCGCCGTCCTCCTCGCCGCCGCCGCCGGCCTCTTCGTCGGCTCCGTCGTCCTCGCCGGCCTGCAGGAGTCCGACTGATCGTCGCCGCAGGGTTTGATGATCACTAGGACATGTACGTATTAATCACCGTATTTATACAGTGCTTAGTGTGTTACTAGTATCGACTGGTTCTCGAGATGAAAATTTGTTGTAAATTTCAAGGAGTTTCAGGCTGCAATGGATGATTGTGTAATTAGGAACGGGAAAAAAAGGGGGCTCCTAGGCTCCTAGCAAGCGCGTGCACTCCGCACTCCCCTCTTAAGTCTTAATTATCTCTGTTAGCCAATACACTTAACACTAATGATAGTAATTAGGAAAGATTATGGAGACTTTTTTTTGGAGATTTTTTTCTAACAGATTGAAAATTTTTTTAAGTTAGATTTAAAAACTTTCGATTTAAGTTTTAAATTTTAAAGTCAAATTTTGAAAACTTTCAACTCAGATTCGAAAACTTTTAAGTCCAAATTTGAAAAAATTTGAAAACTTTCAATTTGAGATTTGAAAACTTTCAACTCGAGATTCAAAAACTTTCAAGTCTAGATTTGAAAATTTTGAAAACTTTCAAGTCGAGATTTAAAAACTTTTAAGTTCAGATTTGAAAATTTTCAACTTAAAATTTAAAAACTTTCAAACTCAAAACATGCTAAAGATTAAAAAAATAAATCAGAAAAAAGTGGGAAAGAAAACAAAAAAAAACGGTAGAAAAAAAGAAAAAAAAAGGCTGGGAGGAGGCGCGCGCGAATCAGCGATGGCGGAAAAAATGATTATAATGAGTTGAATGCATTTCACCAAAAGTTGCCGCCTTATTTCCGCTTTGGATTATAATGCAAATCTAGTTCAAATCTACTAGTGCTTTAGGGCTACCGACTTGTCTTATTGGCAATTAGATTTTTAAAAAGAGCTTGGTTGCAAAATTAGTAACATAGAAATCCCTAAAATCATATTCTAAATTTAAAATATGTTGCTTGGTATTATAATCCTATTATCAGCCAGGGCAAAAAAAAAAAAGAGCATCAAGTTAAAGAGTGGTGAAATTTTCAATTGTACTTGTTATTAATATTTAAATTTGACACTTAGACATGAAATAGAAAAGCATGATGATATTTGGAAGGACTCGGTTTTCAACACGTAAGGCCTGTCCGACCAACGACAGGGACGTCTCCATGAATTTGGGGCCCTAGGGTGAAATACACATTGAGGGCCTATAATTTTTTTTTATAAAAGCATGTCTAATATAAATAAAACATGTTTTTGTTCAATTAAATTATATAGATGCAATATGTGCTATAATGTACCATATTTTGAAATATATCATATGATAATAATAATAAAAGAGTGAAGAAGGTAATGCTGACCTCATGTAGTCATGTTCTACTAAAAGAGTGAGGAGGGGGAGGGGGAGGGGGAGGGGGAGGGCAGGAGCCAGGAGCTCAGCAAGCAGCTGCATACTGTAGAGCTGCTCGAAGATTAGAGTCCAGGGCCATCGCCGTTGCCGCTCGGAGTCACAGGCTGTATTGTTGCCTCGCCGGTCAACACGGTGCGGAATTAGGATCGACAATCTCGTCTCATTCTCGTAGCAGCCACGGCGCACGCAATCACGGAATTAGGATCAATGCGACGATGTTGCAGTATTGTACGCGTGGCCACCTGGGCTTGACGATTTGCCTTGCATGTTATAGTTGTGGGAAATGGACTTTGGGTCGTCATCTTCATATGGGCCCCGAAAAATCGTAGGTCCTGTGCAGTCGTCTATTTGGCTCTTGACCATTGACTTGGGGCTGGTCTGACCGATGGCATATGGTCGGTAAGACGAGCTAACCTCGACTCCAAGTTGAATTACATTGATTCTTTGGTTTTTTTTCTTGGAAAGACAATTTTTTTATTCTAATTAGTTTCTATCCCGAGTAAGACGTAAAAAAGATCCTCTAGAACGTAAAACCAACCCCTTTATAATGGCTATGGTTGGTTCAATTAAGACACAATCTACTCCAACACAGTAGCCAATTAAATTACTTTTTCAGCATCTCATCTACTTTTTATCTAGTTCTAGCCTAGTTTTCATCCATCTTCGCTGGTTTGCATCGAAAACTACCCGTCTTCACCACGAGAGTGCGAATCCTCTCTGTGTAGGTTTGTCCTGAAAACCTTCCGTTCTATCCACGAGACGTATGTTTATCTTTCATCTAAATTGGCTCCACTAGCCGGTTTAATCTTCAAAAGCTATCTGGATTTAGAGTTTTTTAGATTAAGGTGGTTGGCGATTTGATATCATCACAAAGCATTAGGTGTTTTAAACGTGTTTGATGGCATGAAAAAACAAGTTGTGTACTCCCTCCATCCTAAAATATAAGCATTTTTGGATCTGGACACGGTTTCCGAGATGCTACTTTGACCAACAATATCTAATAAAAGTAAAATATCTTAAATAAAAAGAGTTGTGTCGACGTTTGATGTCGCGATTCTGGTATTTGCATAGTATAGAGATCGTTGGTACTAGGATATATGCGAGATTGTAATAAAAGAGATGGGAACGAGGATTTTTATATAGGTTTGGGCCCCTGAATTGTTAGGTAATAACCCTACTCTTGTTGGCTGAAGCCAGTCGTTGCTCTTATTCACCGTAATCACACCGGTACAATATTTCGGGTAGCCTATCTATCTGTTGTTGACTTGGCGGTCTGAAGTGCTGACTCGTAGTCGACAACAAGGTAGTCTTTCTCCTCGAATTCGTGCCCGACGAGATCAGAGACAGCGCTAGATCCCTACAGCAGGCCACTGAAGGTACCAGATAGGGTCAGTCCAGGCATATCTCTGATGTCGATATCCGGCGGCTTGTCTTGGCGCATGTTGGCTTGTATGTTGATCTTGTGTCTTGATCTATTGTTCCGTGTCCCCTCTCCTCCTAGGGGCCTTGTATTTATACCCATAGGTATCCCATTGTCCAAGTAGAACTAGGGAAACCAATATGGATACAATCTGAGTAGCCCTTGTCGTTTCCATGTAGAACTCTATTCATCCTTCCTTATGCGAAACTCCTTCTATATCTGAAGGTTGTTTCCGTATAAGACGTGGGTCCTGCCGAAATTTAGTCAACTACTGTTAGGTATGTGGTATCCATAACCCTGACAAGTTGTATACTACAATAGTTCGTTTAATGATAAATATAGTAAACATCAAATTTACATGATTAATCTTTTTAAATTTTTTTGCTATTAATAGTTAAAATTTAAAAGTTTGACTTGGCACTATTCTAAAAATACTTATATATTGGGACGGAAGGAGTAGCATTTTTCTCGCATAAATGCTTCCTCGGATGGCTGGACAATTTCGCTTGTGCTTAGGTTGTCATTGATAATGGTGCAGGGTGCAGCTCCCGTACAGAAAGTATTTTCTACCACTAGGTGCCATGGCACCTAGGTGTATGCATGTAATGTAAACAGTTATATAAAAATTTTATAAAATTTGATAAGATAGTCCATGATAATATAAGACACTATGCAAACATGCAAGTCTAAATTCGATCGATATATGAAGAAACAAAAATAATAAATTTTATCTGCACTGTGCGGGTACTATTCACGGTCTGATTTTATTATTTTTGTTTCTCTGGTCATAGATCAAATTGAGTCATGCATGTTTGTGCATAAACTTGTATCATCACAAACGATGTTACTAATTTTTTTCAATTTTCTCTATAACTATTTGAGTCATATATAAATGATAGGTGTCATGGCACCTAGGTGTAGAAAATCCTTGTCGTACGCCGTAACAACGTAAGCAATATTTGTCAGTAGGATTTCATCTCACTTTTGTGTCTGTCTCGCGTTATTTCTGTTGGCCAGTAGTAAATTAGTGAATCTCTCCGATGCAAGAGCGTAAAATCAGTAGAGATTACATCTTTTTAATCAGTATATCACGTCAGTTGGCCCGGAGAGGAGGGTTAATGCTGCATTGTTTCGCTCAGCAAGCAAACAAAACCAAAGTTCACAAGTCACCTTAATTAATTAACCAGACTTAGTTTACCGTGTGCTATTGACTTGTTCCCAGCATTATCTAAGAAGAATTGACTGGCATCTCTCCTTTTCATTCGAAATGATAATCTTTTCCCCTCGTAAGTTTCTTATCACTTGTCCCCAACGGCTGAGATTGTTTGCTGTTGCTTGAATTTATAAAATTGACTGCCTAAAAATCAATGTTTACTCAGTCGGTCTCTACAAGTAAACCCCCCCTCCCCCCCCCCAAACCACACACATTGACACAGATACTCTCTCTGTCCCTAAATATGTAACGCCATTGACTTTTTTAAACACGTTTGATTTTTTTAAACATGTTTGATTGTTCGTCTTATTAAAAAAATAAGTAATTATTAATTCTTTTCCTATCATTTGATTTATTGTTAAAATGTATTTTTAGGTATACATATAGTTTTATATATCTCATAAAAGTTTTTGAATAAGACTTACGGTGTCTATTGTCGTAGAGCCACGAGCTACGGCACCTATAGTTTTTGAAGGGTTAGGATTGGGAATTGGATGGGGAAGGATCGGAAGGAATGACTCGACTAGTAGCGGAGGCCAGAGACGCCGCATTTGAAGATTGATGTCCAAAGCTGTTGTCTGATTGATGTCCGACCGTGTTACAACGTGGCACAACTAACAGGCGCAACCAAAGATTCATCACGACCTGAATCATCTATCATGTGTGAGGCATTTCATCATTGCATTGGTCATACACTAGAGTTGGACGACAGCGTCGTATGTATATTATTTTTGATTTAGAAACTCGTCTTCTAAAGTAATAACTCTTATGTATGTATATTGTGCAGGTACTTATAGTGATGGTGTCCGGTCCAAGATGAAACAAAAATTAGGCTGCTTTCGTTGTGATGAGTTCTGGGGGATTGGGTGAGAAAAGGACATCGTATTCCGCGCGCACGCTTCCCAAACTACTAAACAGTGTATTTTTTTCAAAAATTTTCTATATGAAAGTTGCTTTAAAAAATCATATTAATCCATTTTTAAAATTTAAAATAGTTAATACTCAATTAATCATGCGCTAATGACTCACCTCGTTTTACGTATCTTACCAATCTTCTCAATCCCCCTCTCCTCAAACTCACCCTTAGATGACAAGCGGAAACGCAATTTAACTGAACTCTTCAATAGTATGCCAACATATATAATTAGTTGATGGACAACGATGCTCGACAGAGCCGTGTACACAAACAAAGCGGAGTCACAGTGAACTCTCAGAAAGCCATTCGAATCATCATTTTATATACCATTTAAATTTAAATCACATCAACTTAGATAACCTTAAGTTTTTTAAGCTATTTTACATATTATTTTTATTTATTGTTATTATAGTAAATTCTCATAGCAACACGCAGGTTTCACCTAGTATATAAGTGTACCCACGGTTTATTATCGGATCATTTGTTAATTTGACTTGCTTGTTGCTTCCACCAACTTTAGTTTGTGCCGGTGAACTTCCTGTAGAATTCAGTCTTACGCACTGCGATCACGTCAGATTGCTTAACATCATCTCCACCTAAAAAGTGGCGTCACTACACATAGTAGCAGACAATGGATTTTTTTCTTTCTTTAGTGGAGTTGACAATGGATTTTAAACACCTATTTCTTGCCTATTATCTAAATAATTAAAAATTTTAAAAACAATAAGATAAATTAATATGTGTTTTATCACGTCACAAATATGTAAAACTTGTTTTCTTCTTAAAAAATTAACTTCTAAGAATTGATAAAAAAAATGGGTGTGATAATATGCATACTAGCTTGAGCTTAATTTATTCTTTTTGTTACAATTTGTAGATGTTGAATTTGAACTTATATGTTTGTGGAACAATATATAATATATTAATCTATCTTATCAAATCTTTTTAATTATTTCATAACTATTTAAATGACATGCAAGAAAACATCTCCGTGAGAGTTTAAATCATCTCCAGTGAGTATACTCAAAAATTCTAAAATACTACGTAGTATTTTAGAACTTTCGAGTAAATTTCACAAAATACGTATGCAACTATATATATTATAAAACTACAGATTTTAGCACCAAAATTATCTTAAAACTAAAACTTAAGGCATAATATCACAAACTACAGGTTTAGTAATGAAGTCATCTATAGATTCTAGAGTTTAGATCCATAGCTACACATAGCTTGAGAATGACAAGAATTAAGCTGTTGAGCAGAAACAACTATTAGTTAAGTAATTTTGTAATTCGCGGTCATTCAACTTGTAATTTTTATAATAGTTGGTTTTCGAATATAATGGAATTGGCAGGGTTCCAAAGGTTTCACAGGGGTTTCATTGTTAATTAACTGTGGTTTTGCAGTCCTCAAGGAAAAATTGGTTCTGCAGAGCCCCAGGGCTAGTATTAAGCAAATCTTACTTTTTTTAAAATTCTAGTTCCTCATCAAAAAGGACAATCTTGAGGCGAGATGACAAAAATATTTCCCTATTTTTAGGAAGAGATAACAAATGTCATCCCTTTAAAAATTAAAATTGTATGGACTGCTATATATTGAAACAAAAAAAGAAGAATGATTGATAGAAAAATCAATCGATCACTCAATGGATAAATATATAATCCTTTGTTGATATCAAATTGAGATCCCTAATCAACAACAACCACACTACATATAGAGCTCAACGAATAATCACAATAACAAGCACTGTATAACACCATAGCCAGCAGAGCATGCTGGTATTGGTTCGTACTGCATCCACTGGGCTAGCTGAACATCGACACGAGCGTGAAGTGCTCATACGTACACATTTTGTGTACTTTGATCCCTTTTAATAGTAGTATTATTTTGTTTCTATGGATCGCCTGACTAGCAAGTAACTCACGTCACATATATATACGCATCATATGCATTTATTATTATTATTATTATTATTATTAATTAGCTATTTTGCGCCGAGATCGCGGCCGTCGTCGACGACGACGAGGGCGTAGAACCCTCCGCCAGCGGTCGCCGCGCTCATCGCCCACACGAGGACGGCCCCCGCTGGCGGCATTGCGCCCGCGACGCGGCGCGTGAACGCCGCCGTGAGCGCCGCGGAGAGCAGCCAGACGGCGCGGCGCAGCCACCGGCGCCTCGCGGCCTCGGCGGGGGGCGCGCCCTCGTAGAGGCGCAGGCAGAGGAAGAGCAGCGCGAGCGCGAGCGAGGACGCGAGCACGAGCGCCACGGCCGCGGCGTCGGCGCGGCTGCGGTACACGGCGACGCCCGTGTTGACCGCGTGGAACGCCAGGGCGAGCGCTGACAGAAGCGATAGCGGCTTCATGGTGAGATGCGAGTACGTAATAAGTAGTAGTAGATCGGAGCAGCAGAAGGCCAGAAGCTAAAGAAAAGAACTTTTTACCGGCCTGGAGAAACGAGGTATATATAGAGCCCCAAGGACCCAAGACCCAAGACCCAAGCCAAACACGTAAACGCAGTGTACTTCAGCGAAATTACGTACTAGTCATGTAATAACTTGTCCAGCAAGTACTAGCAGATGACGGGTCACGCACGGAAATTTGTCATGGTCAATATCAGAAGTTTCAGTGAATATCATGGGTTGACTGGGAAAAGAAAAATAATTTTCTACCTGAGAAATGCTCCCTGCCTGGAGTCTGAATAGATCAAACCTCACACACGCATCAAAATTCTCAACCCAACAGAACATGGATAATTTGTTTCGAGCACACAACACACAGAGAAGCTATCCACAGTGTATTAACTGGTGAAAAACTGAAAAATGCTACCGTTTGCGATGGTTTGGTTTTTCAGTGACTTAGCTATGCTCGGATGAGTGCTGGCCGTTTGCTGACAGGTCCCCTTGTGATTCTTCAGCATTCTGGCTCGAATTAGCCTCTTCCATGGGCTTCATCTCTAGCTTCTTCTTCTCCTTCTGGACGACTTGCCTAGGCATCACCTCCAGGATGAAGCTTCCACCGTTCCATGTCGACGCGCACACCTTGAGTATCTGGAAGACCACATGCATCTGGAAGGACAGGAATATGGGAACGGTAAGCGCCATTGTCGCCACCGTGAACAGCGCTTGGAGTAGTATGTACATGAGTGGCCGGTTCCTGTCGCCAAGAAGCCCGCTGAGTCTCCACCAGATGTTGTTTGCTTTCTGTGCTTTCTTTGAGAGCTCCCTACAAGAAATTCATGAAGAAACACACATTATTGGGCTACTTCATGTTCTTTCATGACCAAACACTGTTTAAAACTGTGAACAGTTACTAAACTAACCTGTTAAGCTAGAACAATTGGAAACTATTGTGCAGTAAAAGACACAGCTAAAAATGATCAAGGGCAGAAACTTTTAGGAAAAGGTGTGCTAAGAGAACAAATGTAAACTAGATCAAAACGGTAGTGCACACATGTCACTACAATGTTGTTCAAGGATTGTCTAAAAAAATGTTTAAGGATACAACCACGGGCCCGTGAATTTACCCATATTATTTGAATGGGAGTGGGTCTAAATATCATTTTCAGGGGTTCAAAACTGAAACTTAGTTCACTTAGTTGAACGGAAATGGGCCAACTATTACCTACGGGTCTTAGTGTATTGAGTGTGCCAATCACAGGGTTCCAGGTGCAAAACTATCCATGCAACCTGCCATTGCAATTCGTCTTTTCGACGACTCTAATTCATAATTCCAGCTATTTTAGCTCTATGAGTTTATATCTTTTAAGTCAACATTAATACCGTACTGTATATCAAGCAATGTAATCCACACTACATAGGTACACTGCCAAGAACAACAAAGATGTACCTGTATGATGTCATGACTTCAGGATCCTTTAACAGCCTTTGCCGACGCAGCACATTAACTATGAGAAAATACATAAGTTGCCACAGGGTGTAAGCAGCTAGAGGAACAGCAAACAGCCATGTCCACAGGTATGATTTGTCCTCCACATAAGGCCATGTGACTCTGGCTGCTCTTCCTTCTGGATGCATCGCAGCAAAAGTTTGTGGATTCCACCACCGGATAGTGAATATAACTATGCCTGTAAAAATTATTTGCCAGTATGTCAGTCATGTAAACTCAAAATATTTTAAAATGCGCCGGATGGAGAATATAAGTACATATAACCCTAATACATTTAGTACAGACAGGTCTGTTTCATATCTGGAACTTGAGGTTGTCAACTGTTATGGTCGTAGACCAACACTTCTTGCAATCCTTGTGGCACCCATTTGGAAGATTAGGTAAGGAAGTGATAAGATTTATCAAAAAATTAGAGATAACAATCAGGCTGCTGGTTTCCATGATATTAGGATTACTTTCTTAAGGGTCAAGTCAGTCATCCATACATATAAAGGGGCCCCATGTACCACATTGCCAATCAAACAACAAATCTTAAGTTAGTCCAACAAGCCACAGAGCTTGATAGTTCAACAGGGACAAGCCCGGTCAGAGTTAACTGAGAACTGAGACCCCCCCCCCCCCCAAGGCACACACCCACACCCGCACCCAAGTCTTCACTCTGCAGACCTTACCCAACCAGTGACCATGGTACCAACAATTTCAGGAGGTTCCTCACGCGCTTGTCAAATTCCTCAGAACAAATGTTGATTATTTTACTGTTTGTGTTGCTAAAAAAATTTTCGGATTCCACTTGTAATTGTCATGAAAGCAACCTTGTAAATAACATTTAATAATTAACAAACAACCATCTGACCTTATAGTGTTTGACTGCAAAATGGCCTTCCAGTTTTCCACAACTATATATCGTTTTACAATTCCAAATAAGAGATGTATCCATGTCTATTTGATACAAAATAAGGATCTAGTCATTATTACTCTATACAGAATGGAGCTGCCAGTAATGTCCATGGCAGAAGCAAAAAAGAAAGGTTTGACTAAATTCAGCTTGCTAGAATGCTTCAATTAAATGTTCCATGCTATATTTTGTAATCCAAAATGAGGATTTCTACCGTACAACAACTAGAAAATGCTCAACTGCCAAACGGTCTAAATTTCTAGGTTATTTGCACGCTTAATTGCCTCTAAATTTAATACGATGGATAGACTGCCTTTCCCTTGTAAACAACATTTTACAAGGCCACAACACCCTTTATTTAGAACAGAGCATGAAATTGTCAGCAATAAGAAAAATACCAGAAGTTTAGTAACTAAAAATGAATGTGCTAGTTTAAAAAATCATGAGCTACCATATTGGAATAATATGCTACAAGGTTTTGCTGTAAATCCTCTGTATCTTACTTGCAAATGATAGTAAAAGAGATTCCATAAACAAGTAAATCATGTGGTTCACTACCCTAAAATGATACCACACTTACGTAACTAACATTTCCTAGAGAGTAAACTGGGACTTTGAATTGTGAGACCGCTTACCAGGCAAAAGGTGAATCAGGACACTAACAAGTTTATCAAATGAGCTAAAAACCAAGCTGCAGCGCCACACAATTAATGCCCAAGCAAGCGGCCCCTGCAAGAATTCATGGCAAACCAAAAAATCACACATGCTACGAGATGGGTGCAGACCAGAAATCAACATGAATACTTCTAACTTCCCATACCTCTGCAAATGAGAAGCAAACCATGAAAAGCTTTTCATCCTTTGGATAGAAGAGAATCATAACAAGGAGAAAAGTGTTGGCATAGTAACAGAAGTCCTGCAGAGAAATGACGATGCTTATAAAACAGGGGATTATTATTAATGACTTACCAAACAATCAATGGCTTGAAACTGTAATGCTTCTATCATAAGAGCATAAAAACAGAGTCAATTTTCACTAACCAAATGGAACACTCGCATTGCAGAGTAAACCAGGAAACATGATGTTGAATTGCACAAAAATCACAAGCATAGCATTCATCAGGTAAAGGGCAATTCCTAATATCCTATCTTCAATACTACAAATGCCTAGCGGGAATTACCTTCCCTGTTGTAATAACCATAGCTAAACTGTTAGACATGTTGTCCAGCCAGCAGTCAAGATAAAATAAACAAATTTTGGCGGAAACAAGTTTACCGGTACTTCCCACATTTGCAGGATAGTAAACTCTGAAAAACTGAAAAATAATTGGACTCACCAGGAGATAGTAATGCCATTTCTTATAGCGGTAGTAGATCCACCGGAGCGGAACAAAGATGACATAGAACAGGCAGTACACATACGGCACATCCTGTGGTCCTGCAAACAAAACCAGAGCATTCTTAGTGACAAACCAAAACATTGAGATGCAGTAACACGCCAACAGAACAGATCAATGCTGCAGTAGCTTACTGGCACCCAGGAGGTAGCAAAATGTCCCAAATCCAAGAACACCCAGCAAGTGTGTGACCTGCACATTAAAAAGCCAGCACCATGTAAGAACATCCATCCAGAGCCATCCAATTATTGTTCGCAATCTTGGTCTCCTGGTAGTAAATACTCCCTCCGTCCCAAAATATAAGCATTTTTAGCTATGAATCTAGATAACTGTGCGTCCAGATTCATAGCCAAAAGTTGTTATATTTTAGGACAGAGGCAATACTTCAAGTACGGGTCAATAAATGCCGAAATTGCTCCTTAAAAAAATAGATGCACAAATTGGAAGCTACAGCATTACATTGTGCCCAAATGCCCCCAAACAGTAAATATACACCCCCTCTGACGCTCGTTTAAAGCATTTGCATCAATGCCCGCCAAAATGAACAGGTTACGCATACAATTTGAATAAAGAGAACATGGACACCCCCCCCCCCCCCCAAAAAAAAAAAAAGATTTTTAAGCAAGAAGCGACGCGAGATGAGCAAAAAGGATCGGAGGAACGGACCTTGAAGATGAAGCGCTCGTGCTCCTCGGCCTTGGTGGCGATCTTGACGGCCTGCTTGGACAGAATCTCCTTCGCTTGGTCCCTCTGCGCATCAAACAACGAACCATCCCGAGGAAGAAGGAACAAAAAAGATTAGCAAAAAAACGGAGGAAATTAGGGGCAAAACGGAAACAACAAAAAATGGGACGGGAGATATGGTCAGGGAAAGAGAAGAGAACCCACCCTCCGCCGGACTTCCGCGGCGCCGGCACCGCCGTTGGTGAGCACCGCCGCCGCATCGTCCTCCACCTCCGACGCCATCGAACCTTCCAGTCCCTTCCTCCTCTCCTCTTCCCCTCCCCTTCCTCTCGCCGAAGCCGTAAAGCCGAAGGCTTCTAATGGCTCAATCTACACCACCTTTCCTTCCTTTTTTTTTTCTGTTTAATTTTTGTTTTGTTTATTTTTTTCCGCCTCCTTCCTTTTCTTTTCACATCTGCTCCATCCCGTGGGTTTGTTTGTTCATACTTTAACACTATAATAACAAACTATAATCGTCGCTTCATCCTCGCCGTCCGTTCCACGTGGACCGGTCGGTGCGCGGCCTGATCTGCTCTGTTCTTCTTTTTCGCCCTTGCGTTTTCTTCGCGAGTTTTCGCGTGGCATCTCGGCCGATCTGCAGCGAGGCGGGACGTCGGCTTGGCTGAAGAACACGTGTGCGCGCTCTCGCGTCGCTTCGACTCCGCGGCATCAGGTTCGTTCTGCGGCTACGGGGAGGCGCGCGCAGGTTGGGTCGGGTTGCCGTTGCCGGGTTGGGGTGTGTTCGGCACCCAGTTTTCCGACAACTCTCCATCGTTTTCCACGCGCACGCTTTTTAAACTATTAAATATATTTTTTTAAAAAAAGTTTTTATATAAAAGTTATTTAAAAAATCAAATTAATTAATTTTTTAAAAAATATTAGCTAATACTTAATTAGTTATGTGCTAATGGATCGCTCTGTTTTCCGTGCATACTATTCCAGTTCCCAACCGAGGTGTGGCTGGCAGTTTGGGTTGGGTTGGATGTGACCGGCGGCGCGGAGGAAGCCCGACACGTGGAGCTTGCCTAATTTTCTCTGCTCTTTTTCACTTTTTAGTTTTTGTGGGGTATATTTTGCCGTTTGGATGTTTTGCTCGGAGAAAGGCTTTACGTGTTGGTGCTGGTTTGGGTGGCCGGCAAGTTTGGTTTTGTTTTTTTTTCTTTTTAGTGTGCACCTCGACGCCGGTCACGAGTCACGACACCGTGTGTGCGGCACACGCGTCAATTGCAAGCCGAGCGTGCAAGCTTGGATCGATTTTACAGTCAGATCCACGTCATGTGCCACGTACGCCCGCAACTATCCATCATCACTGCCCGCGAGAAGCAATCAACAATGATATCCTGACCCTTTTGTAACATAAACAGAGGTAGAGGCCTACTCTATTTGGGCTCGTTGTGTTGCTTATGCTAATACTTATCTGTACTTTTTTTTAAGTAATAATAGTAGTAGTAGAAGTAAAATTTGTATATACATGTCTTTAACGATTAAAAATAAATACGGTAAAATAATATACAATAAAAAAACTCTAAAATTGATATTAACGTATAAACATAAGCCTAAACGAAATGGTAGCATTGGATTTGCTCGTGTGTGTATATGACATTAAGTATAGAAAGGAGCAGGGGCAAGACATCTATTGATTATTCTAAGGTTGTGTTCGCGGGAGAAGGTTGAGTCATTAGCACATAATTAATTAAGTATTAACTAAAAACTTGAAAATACATCAATATATTTTTAAAGGAGTTTTTTATATATTTTTTAAAAGATGCACCTTTTAACAATTCATGAAACGTGCGTACGGAACACGAGAGAGTAAACGTGCGTACGAAAAAGGAGAGAGTAAGAGTTGGAAAATTAGAGAAAAGAACACACCCTAATTTGTGTCAACAATAGTAGTCTTAGATCAAATTGTTTTCAGCTACTTCATCAAATTAAATTATTACAGTGAATTATTTGCTCCACATCTCTTTAGAAAATATATTTTCTAAAAAAAATTGTTCTACTTAGATTACTTAGTACCACATATTTTTAAGCTATTTTCTATGTTTATTTTTAGAAATATTTAATTCAACTCGACAATTCGATAGATAATTTGTTTTAATTGGATGATACCAGTGTGGTTTCTTTGGGCATAAGCCTTTGGCTATAACTAAATGGCTAGAGGCCTAAATCCGACATATCATCATTTTCATCATCATCATATTATTATTATTATTATTATTATTATTATTATTATTATTATTATTATTATTATTATTATTATTATTATTATTATTATTATTATCGTCGGTGGTACTACTACTGCTACTTCAGATTAATTTTTTGCATATTGGATGCTTCATGTTTCACAAAATATCCTAATGCATTTTCCTACATTTAACTTACAATTTTTACTTCACACATTATTAAGGATATTTTGGGGCATCGCAATTTAAAAGTGCAATTGCGTAGAGGAGCATATGTATTTACACCCTTTATTTAAAATTTATCCAAAATAAGTGCACTTTTATAGTAGAACTTCATCCACAAATGTTAAGGTGGAAGAGAAATACTTTAGTGTCTTTTATTAAATGGGGTTTGGTTAAAGGTTAAGATGACAACTTTATCTTGGTCATTTTCTTCGTTGGTAATTTGTCTTTTAAATAGAACTACATTGTTTTATAGGAAGCTATTTACAAATGTGATTACGAACCAATAATTAACTAAAGACAAGCAGAAAACACATGGACATGGGTTCGAGGGCTCCATGTACCCCTATCTGATACGGATCTAGATCCTCTACATTACAGCAGAGAAAGAATTGTACCTCCAGCAATCCGAGTCCAATTGAGATCCCCTGCAGTACTGCAACGAACGACCTGTGTCCATCTGGGTCTGCTACGCAGCTAATCTGAGCACTGTACCAATTCTACAGTTCACGCACTGTTTATTACTGTTTAAATTTGTCATGTTACTGTAGCGATTTATATCATCCATTCATTCTAGATCCAACGGTGAAAAAATAGTACTTAGCTAATATATACTCCCTCCGTCTTTAAATATTTGACGCCGTTAACTTTTTTAAATATATTTTGTTAAATATGTAAAACTATATGTATACATAAAAGTATATTTAACAATAAATAAAATGATAGGAAAATAATTAATAATTACTTAAACTTTTTGAATAAAACGAACGGTTAAACATGTTTAAAAAGTCAATGGCGCTAAATATTTATGGCCGGATAGATTGTATTTTACTATTCACCTACTGCAGAGGATCCCAACAACTATAAGAGACGACCATGCCATTGGCAGCTTCATTCTGAAACGAGGATAGACGATGGATCGTAAAATAAATTTTAATTTTATTCCAATACGTTAAAAATTGATTCAAAAGGTATTTTTGAAAAAGCCAATGAAAAAAAGTTCTATTTCTTTCCTTAAAACCCACGCCATTTATAAGGATGTGTTCTTTATCGCCTCTTCCCAATTTATATTTCCTCTTTTTACTCTTATGTTTCCACAACCTGAAATAATTTTAAAGAACCATATTAATATATATTTAAAATTTATTTTAACTAATATTTAATTAATCACACGATAATAAATTGTTGCGCTCATGTGCAGGAAACCTTCCCGTGAGAAAAGAAGACAGCCAATAGACTCTTTTTGGCTGCAGCGCAGCTGGCTGCCGGTTTTGCTCACAGATCTACGGCGCCCCCAGCCTGGCGCTGCCGTCTTCTCTTCTTTCCTTGGCGTTCCTTGGCGTTTTGCCGGTTGGCGTTTGTCTGCATTGCCGGAAGATATCGTACCCCTTTTTGGCTCCTCAAATCTATGTCAGGATGGTATTTCAGCCTTTTAGGAGCTCAAGTTGCCTGTCTTGGAACTTGGAAGACAGGATGGTATTTTACTTTGTTCTCAATGAAATGATTAGTAGCATGACCAGCGAGCTGAAAATTGTCGTAATATGTGCACCTAATATTCAGGAGTAGAGGATAAGTTTATACGTGTTTAAGATTACACTTCAACTCCCACTATTGGTGACTCCTTCAGACGAAAAAAAAAAGTATCGTCTTCCTTCCTCTTCATCTGGCCCTTTTCCTCCATCGATTCAGTGACTCAGTTCACCGGCGAGAGGGGAGAGTCCAGGTAGTCAGGTTCTTCCCGAAGTAATGTTTTCCTCTTTGTTTTCTTTTTCTTTTTGATACATTTGTGTAGTGTAAGAATTCGGCAGCGTCACATTTCTCTTGTCCCGGTAGTCATCTATAGATTCCAACCAAATCCATTCATGAAGTGGTCTCCGGGTTTGGCATAGACGCTTCCAAGGAAAATTTGCTTCACAAAGGGTTGCATCGGTCATTTGGTTCATTTATAACAAGGCAACCACAAGGTTGCAATCCTTCTTCATCACTGACGGTGCATCTTCAAAGAGAAGCAGTATTTTCATGATTTTATCATGGAAGCCTTAACCTCCAAGTGGAGGCTCCTTGTAGGTATGCTTCCTTGCACCTTCATTTTTAGCTACTCTTAGTTTCTTCATCATCGTTGCAGCTATGGATCTAGCTTGCTATCTAGTAGAGAAAAGAAGGACTTGATTGCCTTTTCTAGTTTCTTATAAATCCTTCCTAGCAAATTTTTAGGAGCTTATCTTAATTTGATCATCTTCAAGTTTTTTTGGCAAAAACTGCTTGTACTTAGAGATAAATTCCCTACGAGGATAACTCAGTTACCTAGTTAGGAAAAATTATGAATTACCCCCCCCCCCGAACTATCATCCGAATTACCCCCTGAACCACAAAATCGGACATTCTTCACCCCCAACTATGCAAACCGGACGAATTACCCCCCTCGAACCAATTAAGAGCGGTTTTGTCTAACGTGGCGCACACGTGGCAATCCAGTCAGCGTTTTTTAATTAAAAAATTGTGGGACCCGCCTACCATACTCTTCTCTTCTTCCTCTCTCTCTATTCTCTCTCTCTCTCTCTCGCTTTTTCTCTCTCGCGGCTCGCGCTGCGTGCACGGCGAGTACGGCGCGGGGACGGGCGGTCAGCGACGGCGGAGGCAACGGTGGCGGCGAGGCGAGGCGGCGGCAGAGGCAGTGAGCGCGGGGAGGCGAGCGGCGGCGGGGTGCGGCGGAGGAGGCGGCGACGGCGGCGGGGTGCGGCGGAGCGGCCGATGAAAGATGGGGGAGGGGAAAGGTGCGGCGGTCGGCGGCGGCGGAGCTCCCCTCTCCCCCTCTCCCTCCTCCCGTCGTGAGGCCCTCGAGGCGGCGGAGCTCGACCGGGCTCGCCAACCGCCTCTTCCCTCTCTACCACCTCGCCTCACCGCCGCCGTTGCCTCCTCCGCCGCACCCCGCCGCCGCTCGCCTCCTCCTCCGCCGCCGTCTCGCCTCCTCCGCGAGCAGCGCGAGCTCCGGCCGCCGCTCGCCTCCTCCGCCGCCCTGCCCCGCCACTCGCCTCCCCGCGCTCGCTGCCTCCGCCGTCGCCGCCTCGCCTCGCCGCCGCCGCTGCCTCCGCTGTCGCCGTCCTTGCCGTCCCCGCGAGCCGCGAGAGAGAGAAAGCGATAGAGAGAGAATAGAGAGAGAGGAAGAAGAGAAGAGTATGGCAGGTGGGTCCCACAATTTTTTTATTTAAAAAAACGCTGACTGGATTGCCACGTATGCGCCACGTTGGACAAAACCGCTCTGAATTGGTTTGAGGGGGGTAATTCGTCCGGTTTGCATAGTTGGGGGTGAAGAATGTCCGGTTTTATGGTTCGGGGGGTAATTCGGACGACCGCGATAGTTCGGGGGAGGGGTAATTCGTACTTTTTCCACCTAGTTATCTATCAATAAAATGCATGAGTTTTATAAAAAGAGATTACCCTTCAACTTTGGCCTGCATGAGTCCTGATCAACCCAATCGTTAGGTTGGGCCAAAGGCCCAAATGTGTCTTACTACTTTGGAATAAGTTCACTTAAGGTCCCTTAACATGACACCAAATACTATTTTCATCCTTGAACAAAAAACTAGATACAACGGGTCCCCCAACTTACAAAACCAGCATAAATAAGGTTTTTTGACAGTATTATCCCCGGTTTTGGCTGACATGGCACCTACGTGGCTAATTTAACTAAGTTCTCCCACATGGTATTGGCGTGATACTTACGTGGCAATTTAATTTGGAAAATAATAAAAACCGTGGACCCACATGTCAGTTACACCAAAAATAATTAAAAAAAATGATGGGGCCATGCATGTCGTTCTCACTCCCTCCTCTTCTTCCTCCTCTCTCTCTAGTGGCGAAGCCAGGATTTAGAGATAGAGGGTGCTGGTCATGAGACGTAAGAACTCAACGGTGCCTTTTTGGATAATGGTGTGGAACTTGGTGACTCAAATACTGCGGCGTGGTAGATTGGCCTCACCCAATCTGATGTGACCATCAACTATATGCATAAAACCAAGCATGAGAAGTATAAAACATTTTCAAAGAATACATCGAATGAATGGACGATCTACAAGATATTAAAGTCCAATGAGTTTTGCAATCCAGTTCGTCCTCCGGAGATAGCACTGACTTCAAACGGACCTAGCACCTTTATGCCAACTCCGATTTGGGTGATCTTGGACTTCATGGAAAACTTCTCTCATCACCTTTCAAACGCATCCAGTCTCATATCCAAATTCATTCCGAGTCAACGGGAATCGTCAAAACAAGGCAGTGCTATTGCTGAAACCGAACTTGGGCCTTAGGCCTTGTAATAGACTAGACCTATCTCAGAAGTGTCTCCCTCTACCTCTACTAGTTAGCACTAAACACTAAATCTATTTTTCTCTATAAATGTCCATGTACACCCTCTAGAACAATTGGGTTTTGTTTAGTTGAATTTTGCCAAGTGCCATTCACATTGTCTCTAGTCCTCGCTCGATTAGCCAGCGACTATAGATTTAGAGCCCCCAATAGTTGGTGTGTTGATTTGCCAGGTCGATTAGATCTACCACTTCAATCGCAACTATTCCTTTGTGCTTAATTACCTATTCGCAATATTTAGATTGCATCTTATCTTGTTATTGCAGTGTTCTCTCGTTTGCATTGCAGGGATCATCAACCGCGTGTCACGGTTGGTACAACATCGTTTGTGGTGTAGCGATTGCATGGCATCCTGGACTTGTTCTGGTTGGTAGCCACGTCGCAAACGTTGCACTCGATCAAAGCGAGAGTTATCCCCTCACCAGAAGATCGGGCCACGAGAGAGAGCGTCATCACAGTCGCCTCTTGTTCACTCTAATATGCATGATTGTGGATTAATTTGACACGCATAGTCGCTCCTCGTATAATTATATTTTGAATTTTGTGTTTATTTGTCGTTTGCACTAATATATACATAAAATGATTGTTACGATTTTGGATGTATTTCAACGCATTCTTCCAGATTCATGTATAAAATTGAATTTATTTTAGGACGGAGGGTGTATGTCCGAATGTACGTTAATATAACTAAAAAGAAAAACATGAAAAGCAATTTTAAAACTAGGTCACTAAATAGCACAACTTTACTCAATATATGAATGACACGGCATCTCATCTCTATTCATCCTTTTTAATTTCAGAGACTTGCAACACATAGCTTAGTTACGTTAATTAACTTATATAATCACGTAAAGCTAAAACCTATTGCACCGCAGTCTACGTGGCCTACCTATCGCCAATCCATCGACTATTGTACTTGTTCTTGGGATATGCTCATCCCACACGTAAAACGGGGTACTTATTAGCGTATGATTAATTAAGTATTATCTTAAAACATAAAAAATAAAAAATAGATTAATATGCTTTTTAAAAGAAACTTTCATATATATATATATACATATATATACATATACATATATATACATATATATATATACATCATTTAGAAGTTTGAAAAAATATGCTACGGAAAACAAGGGGTAAAAGATGGAAACCAGCTCTACCGAACACAACCTGAGTCGACTAAGATAATTTTATGTAACAATAGTGTAATCTAGTGTACCGCAAACGATGTTCGTGCTATAAATTTATAAGTAAATTTCATAGAACGTAACCCCGGATATTATAGTTAGAGTTCTACAAAACCATATTAGGTCCCCAAACTCTCAAAATGTATATAAAACCGTTCTGGTTTAGGTCTAGGGGGTAATTCGTCCGATATTGAAAGTTTAGGGTGAGCAATGTCTGGTTTTCAAGTTTATGGGGGTAATTTGGCCGACCACGATAGTTTTTTTTTGGGGGGGGGGGTAATTCGTACTTTTTTCCCCAAGGCTATGACCCACTTAAAATTATCCTTTTCCTTTCTTTTCTTCTCCTTCTTTTTATCTTTTTACCAATTTTTTATCCTTCTTCTCGGTATAACTGCGGGCGCTATCGCACGGGGCGCTCGCCAGAGTGACCTTGGGTCGCCTGTTGGCAAAGGAAGAGGAGGGGCCTTGACAATGGCAGCCTAGGCTGACCTAGAAATTCTGCGGGCGATGGACCTAATGACACACTATTACAAGTTTAAGGGTTACTCGTGCACTTTACTCAATTTTGAATTCATATGTATATCAGATAAAATAAATAATGTGTTGTTTTGTGAAACTATAGAACTATAATACCATGGTCCAATGCAACGCGTCAAAACTCATATAGTTTTGTACAACTTGAAGCAAAATATGTGAGATTTTGTGAAGTTAATTACTCTAAATTTGTTGTAGCACATGACCTAAGCCATTGAGTCTCGATTGGATGGCTATGTGTTATTCCACATTCTATGTAGCTATATAGTTCATTCATACTAAGGTCTCTTTCGCATCCACCCAAGATGAAAATTAAGTATAGACACACAAAACAAGAAAGCCATCTGTGCATGATTAATTGAGTTTAATTATTTAAAACTTAAAAAAGGATTTATTTTATATTTTAAAACAATTTCTATATAGAAAGTTTTGAACAATTACACTGTTTAATAGTTTAAAACGCGTGCCAGCATAAACCAAGGTGAATCTATATCTTAATCAGAAAAAATAGGGGCTAAGTATAATTAATGTTATTTCTCTCGTTAAGCCACACCACATTAATTGTTTTTAGGCCTTGGATGATTATTCTATGGTCAAAAATGTTTATTTTATCCCCGCAAAAAAATGTTTATTTTATTTTTCTTCTATGTAAAGCCACATCATGTTAGTTTTTTCCTTTCGATAAGCAATATATATAATCTAAGTTATCATAAACCACACTGTTTTAATTATTCATAGCATTTTACGAATATCGATTAAAGATGCAAATTGTACAAAGTATATAAAGTTACGTCGTACGTATAGCGGAACTCAAATATATCTTATACTTTATTGTTACCGTTATCATATAATATTTGTACAGCAACACATAAGGTTTCATCTAGCATAAAAGATCAACCGACCGTTCTATCATCCGTGTTTATGATTGTCGAAATTTTGTTCTAAGGATCAAATATGTGCATGCTGTTGACTCAATCATAAGAGCTAAGGAAAGTTCTCTTTTACTCCATGCAACGAATGAGGTAATTAAATCTCCTATCTCACTAATTAAAAAATGGTATGACCCATAGCGTCTATCATGGCTGTTGTTTCTAGACAAATAATTAAAGGTTTATCATGGCTGAACTACTAGATCTATAGATTAATATACTTACAACTGCTAAAGACATACGATCCATCAAATTGTATAGCAAATATATACAATACTGTTTCAAATAATACTGTAATGCAATAATTGTACATGAAATTCGTCTAATTTCGATGAATTAAACGACCTACTATATATCGATGGGCCGTAATTTTGATTCAGGTCGCCTTGGTCCTCGATCGGAGACAAACTAATTGTCCATTCCTGTACGGCCCAGGACTCACACTAGCTAGTCAGTTGTCGCCGCCGGCGCCGCCGCGTCGGACTGGCCGGTCAAGGAAGCAGCAGCGAGGTGGCGGTGGTGCCCCTGAAGAGAGCGATCACCTCGGCCTCCTCCAGCCCGAGGCGGCCGTGCGGCGCCACCACGGCCGGTGCCCCGGCGATCGAGTAGCCGCCGGGCGGCGGCAGCTGCGGCCTGAGGTGCAGCGGCGCCGGGTGGTTGTGGACGCCGTCGTAGGTGGTGACGACGAAGCGCGCGTCGTCCCGGGCGCGCTCCACCCGCTTCTTCACGCGGCACCCCTCGCTCGAGCACCGGTAGTAGTTCCTGCACGTACGGACGCCGATCAACCAACCATGGCGTGGCGGCGGCGAGATGTGCTCTCCGGCGAGCGATGGAAGGATGGATGGATGGGTTAACTAATTACCTTGGGTTGGGGCTGTTCTTGACCATCTTCTTGCCGTACTTCCTCCACCGGTAGCCGTCGTCCAGCACGTCCACCTCCGACCTCGTCTTGAACGCGATCTTGCTGCCGTTCTTGCTCCTCGGCACGCCGCCAGTCGCCGCGCCGCCGCTCACCGGCGCCGGTCCCCTGCAAAGAAGGCAGCCGTGTCAAAAGCTGGACTCGTCTAAAACTGCATCACGATCGAGCTAACCAAGGGAGACTTGTTTTGTCAGAGAATTCATAGGACTGACCTGTCCATCTTGCCAAGATTGACGGCGGCTTCCCGCCGGCTTTGCTCCCTGCCTCCTCCGGCTTCCAGTGGCGCCGCAGCAACTGGCGGCGGGTTGTGCTGCTTTGAGTGGAAGCCCACCTCCGGCGTGTAATACTCGACGTCGTCCATGTCGAAGGAGAGGTAGCTGGACACAGCGTCGGCGACGGCAGCCATGTCGTCGTCGTCGTCGACGACGTCCTCCCCCGCGTAGCGGCCACCGCCGACCTGCCGGTACTCGGCGGGGCTCTCGCTCAGCGAGAGGAGAGACGGGTACAGCGACGACATCGCGCGCGACGCCTAGCTCAGCTCAGCTCACGCAGAGCGCTTTATCAACCGGAATTGTGTGTGTATACTGTATAGTAGCTAGTAGCTGTGAATGCATGGCGACATGCTGCACGCGCGCGTGCGGTGACCACGGCCGCGTTCAAACCGACGGCGACGTAGTACATGTGCCAGTGTGGGTGTGCGCGGGGGGACTTTGCCTGGAAAATCGCGGCAGGAAACATCGCCGCATGCAGCAGTAGCACATACACGCACGTCTCGATCCCGGATATGCGACAGCTACGGCCGGCAACGCGACGGCCACCCGCGCGCGCGCGGCGAGTCTCTGCTAAACCAGAAGTCCAGAACTGTGCAGTACAAGTGGCCCGGCTCCTGTCCAGACGGAGCCAGAAATTTAAATCAATTACTACTATGTATTTAAGTGGTGTCATTTATTTATTTTTATTTATACATAAAAATAAGGTCCATAGAGATATTTTTTAAAAAAGCTGTGGGGTCCTCATCGATCCATGCTAGCTTAGGAGAATGGATTTTAAACTCAACGGAACGTTTCCCTAGTTGCTTATACTCCCTCCGTCCCAAAAAAAAAAGACAAACTCTTTTATAAAAACTATGAAAAAAAATTAAAAAGACAAGTCACGCATAAAGTATTAATCATGTTTTATTATCTAACAACAATGAAAATACTAATTATAAAAAATTTCATATAAAACGAACAATCAAACGTTGGACACGAAAACTCAGGGTTTGTCTTTTTTTGGACGGAGGGAGTACGTCACACAAATAGTTATGAAAAAATTAAAAAAAAGAGAGAAAAATGTATTAAGATATAGTATATGATATATCACTGCATAATTATGCAACTGAAAATTCAACTTCTATATGTCACAGGAAAAAACAAATTTTAAGTTGAATTTAAGTTGCATACTTGTGGAATGATATATCACATATTAATTCATCTTTCAATTTTTTTCAGTTCTTTTATAACTATTTTAATGACATAGAAACAACAAGTAAATATCTCCTCGAGAGTTTAAAATAGTTTTCCCTAGCTAAGGGCCGGTCCTGTGTATCGTGATGGTTCGGACCTTAGCTCTCAAGCACACATATATAACAGTGTGACGGATTGACGTATGGTTAATAAAGTATTAAAAAACTTAAAAACTGGATTAATATGGTTTTCAAAATCAGATCTTTTATATAAAAATATTTTTACATAAAACGTAATGCGTAAACTATTTAGAAAACGTGCGTACGTAGAACGAAAAAGTAGGAGTCGGGCAAGTACATTAGAGCACACAAGCGTATATGGACGACGGACCAAACAAGATCTGACAAGCTAGCTATACCCTCATGCTGCGCAGCTGCGGTGTGTGTAGAAGTTGGCGGTCGTCGGCGTGGACCGGCGGGGCGACTTTGACGGCGGACGTAGAGACGGGGGTGGCTTAGGCACCCTTTGATTTGTTGGAAAAGTGTAGAAAATTTAAAGGATTTTAATTCTATGGAAGAAATTCCATTAAAGCCTTTGAAACTAAGGATTGAATCCTATACTATCTTTTAAAATTCCCATGGAATGGCTAATACTATAGAGATTTTAGAGAAAAGTTAGCAAGAGGTACAACCTCTTGGAAAAATTCCTTTGAGTCTATCTCTCTCATCCGATTTCTGTGTTTTTTCTGTGGTCCAATCAAACAGTTATTCCTGTGTTTTTTCTGTATTTTCCAATGCTCTGTTTTATACTTGTATTACTATCAGAATTCTGCGAGGGCGTTTGCCGGCCGGACGGGCAGGGAACGACAGTGTGTCGCGTGGCAACGGCGGGGCCGGCCAGCTGGTAGGTGTAGCTAGCACAGCGACGTGAGCCCGGTGGCACGGCGCGGGGCCGGGGGTGGTCAAGGCAGAGCAGTGGGCAGACAGCGACAATAATCTTGGCTGGCTGGCTGGCTTCAACTAATCAACGTACGTACGTATGGAAGGGTCGTCTCGGCTGGAGACCGGCCACGACCGGAGATGTTGATCGATGTGCTCCCCCCAAACTTAGCAGTGAGTTAATCTTTTTCTTTTATAAAAAACAACATAGTATAAATGTAGGCGTTTACAACATGGACACACTCTTCCCTCTATGAATATACGCGCACACATCTTATCACTATGAGTACCTCCGGACTACGCCAACACATCTTGAAATTGATGAAGTTAATACGGACGTCCCACCGTCGACGGTTACGTCGTCCACCACTGAAAAAATAATTAGTCATAAATACAAACACCGTATTAAATCTAGAATTTGAACCTAGCATATCTTGAGATTGATGAAGTCATCATAGACGAGTTAAGCTCACTTCGCACCATTGAGTTAATTTGGAGGCAATTCTTAGTGGAAAGAGTCTATTTTACTCCTTTGAACAATTTTAAACCGTGAAACTGTTTTTGCCTTTTCATTTTAGCTTCAAGAATGGCGCTGATCAGTATTGCTGGCTGCAGCAGTGCAACTGCTACATTCAGCCCTAAACGATCAAAGCGAATGTTAAAAACAATTCACTTTTCTTCTTAATAGCATTTATTAGTTTTTGTTTCTTTTATACGAGTTGTACTGTAAGCTGGAAATTTTTAGACACAGATGACAACGCTATCAAAGTTTAAAAATATTTTATTTTTTTCGTGACTATTTGCATGAAACTTTAAAATATGGATGCTTAAATCAGTCGCAGGTGCTTCTAACTTACATAAATAGTTCTTTTTTTTTAAAAAAAAGTCCATAGTTATAGTGCACATATCACATATCAAGTTTTAGTGCAAAATACAACTTATATTGAGAAAAAACCGTTAAGAAGTTGGAATTTTTTTTAGGAGTTTAGGGTGCAAAAATAAGTCAAAAATAGTTTAATGGGTTGCTCTAGCGAAATAGTTCGATGGAGAAAAGTCGTTTTCTTTTTCATAATTTAATCCGTAGGTGTTTTTGGAATGGCTTTCTTCAGTTGATAGGTACATGTGCTATCATCGGCTCATTGCCAATAAACCGATTAGACTGGCTTTCCCACTAAACAGGTGCACGTAGTATTATTACCATACGGCTCTGTTCTTTTCTCCAACAAAAGTTGGATAAACTTTTTGATGCACGCTTTTCAAACTGCTAAACGGTGTGTTTTGTGCAAAAACTTTCTATATGAAAGTTGTTCTAAAATATCAGATTAATCCATTTCTCAAATTTGTAATAATTAAAACTCAATTAATCACACGTTATTATCACCTTATTTTACGTGAAACACTTAAACTTTATCTTTATCTTTAGGAGATTCAAACACCACATGAGATTGGTGCTATGTGTTCTTGCAGGTAGCATTTTGAATGAGAAGACTGTTCAAGAGGAGAATCATTTCAAAAGAAATATATTGGATGGCATTAATCTGGCTGCACTTTCCATTAGAAGTACTGACAGGTCATCATCATCACTGTAAAACAATTGCTTAGTCAATAATATGACTGCAGCTGATCCGGATCCGTAAATAAAAACATAAATCTGGTTCGCGTTAGCGTCAGCTTTGTTCTCCGCATAAATAGAGTTACACCCCAAAAAACAATAAAGAAGAGACGAGATATGATCTCCGTATCTCAATGCGCTTGTACTATAGACTAAGGTCAAAAAACACGAGCACGTCTGTACCTAACAGTATACACGTCTAATAAGCAACTCTTTCCTTTGTCATATGGTGGTGTATGTCTGTCTACTAGTAGTTCACTCTGCTGTGAGAGCGAAGTTTACATTAAGCAGATCTACCAACACATTGGACTATGGGAAAATTCTGCAGAGATGCCAAAATTTCGTGCAGGCCTTCTACGCGAAGAACTTGCAGTGCGGAAATGAGCGCTGTACAAATTGATTCTACATAGCACATGATACCAAAATTACCTCAACCACCTCCCCATTTTCATGGTCATTATCTTCCGTCTCTTGTGCTCCCGGTGCTTGGCAGCGATGCGCAGCTTCCTCTTGGCATGGCGCGCCGGGTCCACGGCCGCGATAAGCTTCTCTGACTGCTTTCTGCTCTCCCTCTTCTGTTTGAGGCCCTTCCTGACACTGTTGTAAACCTCTACAAATTTCTCGGTGCCAATCAGGTCACACAACTTGTCGCGGACACTGTCTGCTAATTGCTTGACATCATCTGATAATAAAAATAGCTTCGGATAAGTTTAATGACATAAATACAACTACAAGGACTTAACAAAGAATCCCAACAATTTTGAAGCTTTCCCAGTTTGGAATAATGAAGACAGAGATCATACCACTGATGACTTTCCCAGCAAATCCTTCACAAACTTTATATAAGGGGCCCAAGAAGAGGTTAGCATAGGATAGTGATACTTCAGCACCAAGCGCTGATGAAATCATGCTGAAGCAATTGAATACAATCTTCATCTGCACATGCATAGTGAAAGTACAACTCTAAGTATTGTATGCAAAGTATAAGTTCAATCTGAGAATAATATTCATGTTGAGAGATGCTGCTTACCTGCGTATCCTGCATCTGCATTGCAATCTTTCCCATCCTCTTCAGGAGCGAAGAAACTAACAAAGATGTAAGCTCTTCACCTCCATCAAGGTTAGATCCATTTACATCAGTAGATGCAGAAGTGCAGATGAGAAATGCGTTCTTTGCTTTTGTTGAACCAAACAATTCAAAACCCTCAAGGAATGCACTGTGATCAGAAGAACTAAGGCTAGACCAAAACTGGTGTGGCGAGGTTGTTTGCTTAACCAATGTATGCAAGTTACAGACAGAATACGAAAGATTTTGTACAATTAGATTGTTCGCTGTAGTATCACTTAGTTCTGCTCTCAATTGTTTCATCAACGAAACAGCTATTAGGAATAGCATGCTTGGTTGGATAAGCAGTGAGGACTTGCCATCAAATTTCTTTTCACGCTTACTCTTCTCTACAAAAGAGAAATATGAGGCCACAAGAGAGCTGGATATATTACGCAACATTGAATGGGGATGGATCAGCAACTTGCAAACTATCATCCAAATTTCCTGCAGGTAGAATTGGGTCACAAACTTGATTGCACAACCAAAAGGAA